CCTCTTGAGAGGGCCTTTGATGTAGATGTCAGGCAAAAAGTCCTGTGGCAGGGGAAGGTGGCAGCGACTTCTGTGGCTAGGCTGAGGCCACTGCATGCCAACCCCCTTGGGAGCAGGGAGGGTGTGTTGACAGATGTGCACAGGAGGAGGGAGTGTCTGGGGGACCCCTTCTGTCCGATGGCACCGGGGCTTCTGAGGCGCAGCCTGTGGCTGGTGCTGGCCCGGCTGCCTGGGCAGCGTGGCGGTGCCGTGGGGGGCGGTCGACAGAGTGCCGGGCACCGAGGGCCCAGGAGCCTGTGCTAACTGGCGTGAGGCAATTGTGTTTGCCACTGCGCAGCCGCGCAGGCGAGGACTTGCAGCTGGGCTTGGACCCCAAAGTGACACCAGACAGTCAGAACCGAGCCCTGGGCCAAAATGAGCCCTAGGGTGCTTGGACTGATCAGATGAGGATGGGCCTATGGAAGGGGACAAAAAAAATCCTCAAAACAGATGAGGACACCCAAAGTCCTCTTTGTATGGACTTGGCATTGTGCCCCAAGCTGTGAAGGGCATGCACAGAGTTGGGATGGGTAATGACTTATTACCAAAGCCTCCAAGTGTCATCCTTGCCTCCCAACAGCCTTAGGCCCTGAAACCTAAGGACCTGCCCTTGGGAAACATTTTTAGGCCCCGGAGCTCTGAGTCCAGGCCTTGAACCCGTCCCACCCGGAAGTCCTGAGCTGCCTGTTGTTGTAAGAGTAGGAGGGCCTGGCTCCTGCTCCGGGAATGGGCCCTGGATCCCCGGAAGAGCAGGAAGGAATGGCTGCTGCATAGGGTGGGACAGGGCCAGAGACAGAGGTCAGCTTGAACTGGGGGACCTGCGGAGGATGTGATTCTCCCTGCTCCCTGGCAAGGCACCTCTTAGGGTCTCCCCCTGGCTGGGACAGATTGGAAGACTATGGCTTCTTGGGTGAAGGAGCCTCTGAGCTAAGGTCAAGGCGCCCTTTGAATCCAGTCTGCTCTCAGTGAGGACCAGCCGACCTGACAGGAGCACTCAAGCCAGGAGGCCACGGCCAGGGCCAAGGTCAAGAGGCACATACAGGATGCAGTTGGGGAGGGGGCAGGGCGGGCTTCGGTGAAGCCTCTGACTCAGGACAGTTGTGCTGCTGACTTGTGACCGTGGGAGAGTCACCAGTCTCAGTGTCCCCAGTCAGGACATCCTCTGGGCCATGGCTCAGTCACCCTGCACTTAAGGCTCAGAGCAGCCACCATATCCTCACCGCATTCCTGGGGTGAGGAGCTGGGCTGGGAGCCAGGGCATGTGCAGCCAGAGCTGGAACGGCTGCAGGGGCCAAGATGAAAGTACAGAGCCATCACTGGCTTTGAACGAAGTGTCCCAGCCTGGCAGTTCATGGCCAGTTTGCCCAGGTGATCAGATAGATGGCTGTCATTATCAGCAGCTCCTCCCTTTCCCCCTCCAAGGCTGTGGTCGCCCTCATACCCTTGCTCCCTGTCTTAGAAGGCCTGGGTTTTTCTTGCTTTCCACACTGGCCTTGGCACTCACAAACGTCTTTGATGTTTGTTGACTGACTGACCGACTGATCAACTCACGAGAAAAGTGGGTAAGTGGGGACTGAGGACATGCCTGGGACACGAAGCTCTTCCCGATTTCCTTCCTAGAGGGGAGAGCTGGGCAGGGCAGTGTGACGGGGGCTCCAGTGTCTCCTGCTCAGCTGCGCCACCAGCTGCAGGGCAGACTTGCTGGCTGTGCCCTCCTAACTCTGGCCCTATGTCCAGATTCTCTAGCGCGTGGTAGACATGCTCAGGCACAACTACAACCGTGGCCTAGGGACACTCTTAGATGGCCCAAGCATCGCTGGTGGGGTCCCTGGCACACACCTCACTTCTTCAACCTTTGACCCGTTTACATTCCTGCCGGCCTAGCTCTGTGCACTCAGCCAATTCCTCCTCCGAGAAGGAAGAGGGTGGAAGAGGGCAGGGCAGAGTGGAGATGCCGCCACATTCCTGCCTCAGGGCCTTTGCCCTTCCTCACCCTCCGCTGGAATTACCAGCCTCAGCCGTCCCTTGGCCCGCGCCTGCTGCTCCCTCTTCTGGAAGCTTTGTGGCTGTGCCCTGCCTCGCTGCCACTCCGGCCACCATGGCAGCTGTGCCTTTCGACAATCCAGGGAGTCCTGTGGGGCTGCTGCCTCCTGGGTCACCTCCACCTCCCCTGGTGCTGGAAGACAGCCTTCCTCGCTGAGGGACTGAGAGGTCTATTTTTTTTTTTTTTTTTGAGACAGAGTCTCGCTTTGTTGTCCAGGCTAGAGTGAGTGCCGTGGCGTCAGACTAGCTCACAGCAACCTCAAACTCCTGGGCTCAAGCAATCCTCCTGCCTCAGTCTCCCAAGTAGCTGGGACTACAGGCATGCGCCACCATGCCCGGCTAATTTTTTCTATATATATTAGTTGTCCAATTAATTTTCTCGCTCTTGCTCAGGCTGGTTTTGAACTCCTGACCTCGAGCAATCCGCCCGCCTCGGCCTCCCAGAGTGCTAGGATTACAGGCTTGAGCCACCACGCCCGGCCTGAGAGGTCTATTTTAAGGTCACCAAAGTAGCCGGTACTTTCCAGTCCTCTGGGCGCGGGCCTGAGGACGCCGCCCCAGGCTGAAGGCTGCTCCCCGCCAGGGCGCTGGTCAGGGCTGGTGTCTTTCGGTCATCCGGCATCTCAGGGCAGGGCCCCTCCTGGAGCTGGCCCCAGATCTAGTTCCAGCACGTGGATCCCAGAGGCCTGTGGCCCATGTCCCCTGTCCATTCCTCTGTGCTCCAGGGAACCCTCGAAAATAAGCCCAGGAGCCCCGAGGACGGACAGGTTAGGACTCCACCCAGCCTTCCCTTTTGTCGTTCTTGTCCTTTAGCCAGGGACATCCCTGCTGTCTCCGTGCCGAACCTGGGCCTCTTCGACCCCTGTAATTCTAGGTCACACGGCCCAAGAAGCCTCCCCTGACCTTATGTCTGGGTTGAGGGCCTTTCTATGCACAGTTACCGCATCCTGGCTTGTCCTGCTCTAGAAGGGACCGCTCTGTAGGGGTGGTCAGAGATGGCTTGGATGGAACGGTTTAAAAGGCTCTCCTGGCTGGCAGTGGTGGCTCGTACACCTGTAACCCCAGCACTGGGAGGCTGAGGCAGGAGGATGGCTTGAGGCCAGGAGTTCAAGACCAGCCTGGGCAACACAGGGAGACCTCATCTCTACAAAAAAAAAAAACCAAAAAAACCACACATTTTAAAAAAAAATTAACCAGCTGTAGTAGCACAGGCCTACAGTCCTAGTTACTCAGGAGGCCGAGGCAGAATTGCTTGTGCCCAGGAGTTCAAGGTTGTACTGCACTCCAGCCTGGGTGACAGAGCAAGATGACATACATAAATAAATAAATAGCTCTTCCTAGAGTCTCCTGTGTGTGGCTCCAGCAGACTGCAGGCCTAAGAGAGCCGGGCTGTGCCTGTCTGCTTTGTCATCATAGCCCCTGTCTCACCCACTGCCCGGCGCGGAGAAGGGACACGCTCTAAACCTTCTATAAGAATGCATGAATCGTGTGCGTGTGAATCTTACAGTGCAGTGCCTCAGGGCTGAGGTCTCCCTTTCCTGTGACTTTTGTACCCTCTGCGCCCACTGTTAAGGCCTCTGCCTAGAGTACGTGCCGAAGAAGAGCCAACTACGTGACCACCTGATTCTGTAACCGTTTCCGCCTGCGGGGGAGGCCGACTAGGGGAAGCTTTTGCTGGCAGGGGCCAGAACTGCCCGGAGGCCCTCGCCTGTCCTTCCCACACAGGAGCAAGGGTAGGAGTGCCAGATAAAACACAGACACATAGTTACATTTGAGCAATAAATCTTTAGTACGTTGCATGTAATATTTGGGACATGCTCCTCCTAAAAAACGACAATCTGAATTTAACTGGGAGTCCTATTTTGGTTTTTTCCTCGTCTCTCTGAATCTGGTAACCCTAGCAGGCGGAGAAGTGACTAGCCAGGTGCTAGGTGGACCTGCGATCTGGTCTCCAGGTCTCTGTTTGCAAGATTTGTCCTGCTGATTGCCTCGGTACTTCCTGCTCCTTAAATGCTTTTGGCCAGAGCCCAGGGAGAGCTCCAGGTGAGGTTTCCCGGGGCTGTTACTAGCTTGCCAAGTCCAGGAGCGCTCCTACCCCATCTCAGGAGGTGATGTTTGAGGTGAGTGAGATTTTAAAGAATAAGCCCAGTGATGATCCAGGAAAGAACATTCCCAGGAGAGGTGGGGATGAAAGCAGAAGAGCTAGTAGTGTTGTCTCCGTGAGTGTGGGCATGGAGGGCTTTCCACAGGAGAACGCATTCAGCATTTCAACTGAAATGAAGCCCTGGACCACATCCCGAGTCACCCAAGAAGGGGCAGTAAGGGCATGGTCCCTTCCCACCATCCCCCAAGCTGCAGGGTGCACACCTCTCAGGCTTCCAAGGCCGGAGGAGTTTCAATGGCAGGGAAGGGGCAGGAAGGGAGTCTGAGTGTCTCTCTCTTGGGCTGGGGATTCTGGCAGCTGGGCCGAGGCCTCTGGGCTCTGGTGCTGGACAGCACTGTTTGGTGGGATCACCTGGTGGTTAAAATGGGTGGGGGAGCTGTGGGCCCTTGGAGCTAAGCCCCCATGCAGCCAGCGAGCGGGTGTCTCCCTCACTCAGAGCAGCGCCACCCCTGCCCGCTTTAAGCAGGCCCCTGAGAACACTGGGGGGGGGATGTGCCCCCCCAGGGAAAAGCCTGCAGCCCAGGGCTGCAAGGTCCCTCCCTGGACAGCAGGCATCTCTCCTGGCTTTGGAAGGCACTGAAAGCCCCGCATAGCCGCCAGGAAGCTCAGCACTTACCTTCCTCCTCCTCCTCCTCCTCCAAGCCCAAACATACAGACCAAACAATGGGAAGTGGCTTAGTTCCACCTTCAAGTCACAGGCATTTCGTTTGTGAGCACGCTAAGGAAGCTGTTTGTTACTTTAAAATATCCATTGGCTTCCTCCAACTGGAAAGATATCCTAACAAACTTTCTGTTCTTGGAGGGTTCAAGCTTGGTCACTCAGAGGCAGTGTGCTGAGCGCAGTGGACACCCTTGTGTGTCCTGGCACGTGCTTGAGAGTGTGTTCTGCGTGTAAGGGGACGCCGGGTCCCCAGAGCCCGCCTTGGCCATTGCCTGCGGGAAGCCCACAGTCTAAGCGGACCCAAGCAAGCAGCTCTCCCTGACTCCTCTGCCGCCCAGAACCTTGGAGCTGGGAGGGCGGGTCAGGAGGGGTGTCCTTTAGCTGAGACTGGTTTACGTCCACAGGGGAGGAAGTCCACTGGGGAGGAAACCTCGTTTCCCCCTAGGCCGCGTGAGTCTGGCCGGGTACCCAACAGGAAAGAACTCTTTGTTCTGAGCTGGGCCCGTTACTACCCACAAAATTTCCTGGACAGGGGGCTTGGACCAGGCTGCCGAAGGGCCTGGATCCGAGTCTTGGCCGTGGCACCCTCTGGCAAGGACTAGGCCTTTGTGAGAGGCGGGTCAGCACCTGCGCTTAACCTCAGGCTGGTCTGCGGGTGGGGTGGGGGTGAGTCCCAGCCTCCTTGGTAAAGTGACATCTTCCCGTGGGTGGTAGGGGAGGAGGGTGGCTCCAGAGCTCCAGGAGCAGCTGGCATGCCCCCTGGGCGGGTCTGTCACCTAGTGTCCCCCTGGGATCCAGGTGGGGCAGGGAGGAGAGCTGGAGAGCAGAGGGGAGGGCGTGGAGCGTGGGAATCAGGAAGCGCGGGAGGAGGCCAGGGAAGGGCGGCGGTTCTCAGCGCCCGGCGCCCGCTCCCCTCTAGGCCCGGGGGTCCCCTGCAGCCCCCAGGCCCGCCCCGCCCTAGCCTGGGCAAACCCGCAGCCTGTCCCCAGCTTGGCCCGCGGCCGAGGGCTCCTGGAAACGCCCGCCTTCCTGCGCGCCCCGAACGCGGGGGCCCCGGGAGGGAGGCAGGTCGCGAGGCCGATTCCGAGGGTTCCCCGAACTCGGGTCCACAGGCCCGGGCCGGTGGCCACGGTTCGCTTCTCAGCGCCCCGCGCGGCAGCCCCGGCACCGGGCGACCGGTTCGAGCCCCGGCTCTGGCGGGGCCCCTCGCCGGCCCAGCAGGGACCGTGGGTGCCCGGCACGTGCGGGTCAGCCGGGGCCGCGCCTTAACCCCGGTTCCCGGCGCGTCGCGGCACTTCCGGCCGGGTGACCTTCGCCGCGTCGCGGGGCCCGCGGCCAACCCGCTGCTGCCTCCCGGTCGCCATAGCGACGCCGGCGCGGCCCGCGGAACCGGCAGAGCGGGCGACGCTCGCAGGGAGCTCGCGGGACGCTCGCGGCGCGCGCGGCCGGGACGAGTAGGCGGCCGCCGCGGGTGGAGCGGAGCCCGCGGGCCGACGGGCCGCGCGGCCTGGGGCGCGGGGCGGCGGCCAGGTGCGCGGGGCGGGGCGGGGCCCAGGTGCGCTCGCTGCCGGGGGAGGCCGCGCCCGCCGCCAGGCCCGGCTGTCTGAGCGGGAGCCGCGTCTCTCCTTCCCGCCGGCCGGGCACCTGACTCAGGTGCAGCCCCTTCCCCGGGCCGAGGCCGCAGGTTGCAGAGCTCGTCTCGCCGCTCTCCCGCTCCCGGGCGGACCCTGGCCTGGCCCTGCCCAGTCCCTGCTGAAGTTACAATGGAGACTGCTGGAGACCCGAGTTTCAGTGTCCGGGTCTACGGCCACATTCTAGAACAAGGTAGAGCAAGGGGGCGTGGACGTGGGTCAACCAACGTTTGCCACGACTGTTCTCTTGAAACCGGAAACCGGAGGCTCCGCCTATTTCCCCTGAAGCAGGGTCTTGGGCTGAAACGCCTGGCGGGCCGCTCTCTCCTTTCTCTGTCCACACCGCTAGCTGCTGCGCGGAGGGCAGGAGTTTCTAGAGTGGGAAGCCCGACTCCTTGGATTGGCCGTGGTGGGCCCTGAACGGGCGGCACAGCGGTGCCACCTGCGCCGAGGGTGGGGTCTGCGGCTGCCGTGACACCTGCGTGACACCTGCGTGAGGGCAGGGCCACGTCGCCTCCCCTCCTGCCCTTCCCCTGCTGCGTCACAGAACGCAGGGTACGCCCGTGTGGATTTGGGGTTCCAGACACGTCGTTCTGGCTCCCCTCCCCGGGTTTCTCCCTTGCGGTTGCCCGGTCCTTGCGTTCATTCCTCCTTGGCAGTCTTTGGGGATTTTCTAGGACTTGTTAAATGAAGTTCCATCTAGGGCACCTGGACTCTGTCTCTTTGTTTTCGCAGCCAATCTAAAAACAAAGCTCTGCCACCTCCTCTAGACGCCTTGATTTCTCTGGTGAAACTGGATTGAGGCAGGAAAATATAAGGCTGCTGCCGCCCCGCCCCTTTGCAGGTGGGGCCTCCCGGAGCTGGCGGCGGACGCCTGCTGTGCCAGCTTCCTGCCCGCCACCTTCCCTGGCAGCCACCTTCCCTGCCCGCCACCTTCCCTGGCAGGCAGAGTGTGGCTTCTGCAAGTACTGGGTTGCTCAGCGGCATTAGGCGGCGTTGGTGGATGAGCATGAGAAATTACCCACCTCCAAAAGCGCAGCTTCACCGGGAAGAAGCACTCTACTGCCTACGCAGTTCATAAATGGTTTTGGGAATATGAAACATCACAGACTAAAAGCAGACCACCTGTATTCTTCCAGTCCAGGAGTTTCTGCTCGGTGTGGGGGGCTGGTGGTAGACAGAGGAGTGTGGATTTATTAGAGTCGCCTGCCATCTGGCTCTCTGTGGCCCCAAACCTCATGTGTCCACAGCAGCTGACGTGTGGCTCTTCCTAAGGCGTTAGTTTTTGCAAGATTGCTGTTTGATTGAGTGCCTACTGCGTGGCAGGCGCTTGTACGCATCTATCCCACTTACCCGGTCCGCAGTCCAGGAGGTAGATCCCGATATCCTCCACTGTATAGATTAGGCCCAGAGCAGGCACTTGGCCTGCCTGGGAGTCACCGTCACCAACAGTGGAGCCGGCTGTGATGTCTGCCTGACCCGGACTGCACTGCACCTTTCGTGGCCCCTTCCTCCATAAAAAAAATAATAACAATTATATTTGCCAACTGCATTGGTATAAAGACAAATATAATCCACTGGATTAGAAATTAAAACATTTTCCTTGACCCTAAAAAATTCATTTGTTTCCTTCTGATTTTAACAGAAATGAAAACATTTTTGTTATAAGTTTTGGGAGTCCCCTGTGCTTGAGAGGGAAAGGGGCTCAGAGTCTGGCTTCCAACTCCGCCTTCTTCCTGGGGGCGGCGAGGGTGTGGGGTGGTAGCAAAGTGCTCCATGGAGCAGCTCAGCCTGCGCTTTGCCTTCTCTTTCGTCACGTTCTGGGACATTCTGGGACAATGGAGCCATTTTCCCCTTCATCCATCAAGACAAGATCTAGTCTCTTCCCCCATCACAATCTTTTCTAACTCAGCCCGGCTCCCCGTTTCCCCCTGCTCCACCCTCTGCCCTCCGGGCGGTACAGCCTGTGCAGTGTCTGGTCCCCGTAATGAGATTAGGCCTGGTCTCCTTTTAATAAAACGCGGTGGGCTCGGGAAGGGAGAGTGAGCTGAGCTCAGTTGAGCCCTGCGGGTAGCCGCTGCCCCTGTTTGATTGCATTAAGTGGAGTGGTGGTGCGTGGGGGTTGGGGGGACTGTCAGGGCCCAAGGCTCCAGAAGCTGCCAGAGATCTGTCACCCTGTCCTGTGCTGTCATAGAGGAAGGAGAGTGGCTGTGAAGGGGCCATATGAGCCCCCTCTGGTCTGCAGGGCAGGGAAAACCTTTAGGGTGGCGAGTGGCTGCTCTAGGCCTTTGAAGCTGCTGCCCACAGTTCTGCTCTAGGAACAGAGATGGCCCAAGAACAGCTGCTGTTCTGGGGCCATCCAGTTAGGGAGGAAGGGTGAGAAAATGTTCTTGCCATCAAGATTGGGAAATGGGCCGGGCGCGGTGGCTCACGCCTGTAATCCTAGCTCTCTGGGAGGCCGAGGCGGGCGGATTGCTCAAGGTCAGGAGTTCAAAACCAGCCTGAACAAGAGCGAGACCCCGTCTCTACTATAAATAGAAAGAAATTAATTGGCCAACTGATATGTATATAAAAAATTAGCCGGGCATGGTGGCGCATGCCTGTAGTCCCAGCTACTTGGGAGGCTGAGGCAGCAGGATCGCTTGAGCCCAGGAGTTTGAGGTTGCTGTGAGCTAGGCTGATGCCACGGCACTCACTCTAGCCTGGGCAACAAAGCGAGACTCTGTCTCAAAAAAAAAAAAAAAAAAAAAAAAAGATTGGGAAATGAGGAACCATGATTCAAAGGCACTTGCTTGCTAGAGTGAATCTCAATCAATTTCAAGGTTCGCAAGTGGGTGGGTCAGAGTCTGTCCAGAGCCACCTGAATGTCTCTGGCCGTGTCCCGGCATGGGACACAGCCTCTCCGTGCACACAGATGGGTCGTCAGTTGTGTTGGACTGAACAGCAGTGGGAGCCCAGTCACTAGAGGAACCTCTCAGTTTATCTTCTGAAAAGCACAGAACCACTCACTACTTTGTCTTTTTTGTGAATTGGGGATTTTCACTTAGAACTCGCTGACTGTGAAGCCATCTGTAGGCAAACCACAGGCCTGCTGAGGTCGGACGGTCTTGCCGGGTGTGAGTGGCCAGTTCTCCTGTCATCCCTCACACTGGGACTTCCCAGTGCTACCTTCCAGCCAGAAAAGGGCCCCTGTCATTCCAAAGGACATTCTTTGTCTCTGGCTTCCTCCTGGATGCCCGGTTGCCATGGACACCCGGGCTGTGCGGAGCAGATCTGCCTTTGGAGTGAATTGAAACGAAGACCTTGCCCTCGTGTGAACCCCCCTCTCTCGCCCATCGTTCACGTCCTGTGCCTTTCCTCCTAGGAGAGCTCACAGGGCACACGTCGGGGTGTGGCGGCGCGGTGGTGCTGAGGGCGAGGAGGAAGTGGGAGGACGGGCATGAGACGGAGCCCTGTGGCAAAGCAACCTCTTCAACAAGCGCCCATGAGGATCCTTGACTGGCCTCAGTCTTCACAAGTGATGGCGCTACCCTAGTTCCTGGCGTTAGAGAGGACAAAGCCACGGCCACCAGCCCTCGGCAGGAGAGCTGGAGGAGCGCGCCACTTACAGATGTTAAACTCGGGGGCACGATCTGTAGCGCGTGTCCTGGGAAGGGACTGCAGGCGGGTTTAGCTCCTGGCTTGACTTCTTACCGCCCTTGACGTTAAAATCTGCATCTGTGTCTACACTGCAGCTTGTCCGCAAGCCCCTTGAGGGCAGGGGACAGCTGAGGGTATAGCTCCAGCTGGTGCCATGTGCGAGCACAGAGTAGGTGCTCAATAAGCGATTGAGTTGAACAGCTATTTGCTGATGGTAATTTGGGGCATGAAGTTTATCCTCTTTGAGCCTCAGTTTCCTCATCTGTCAAACCGGGGTAATACTCATATTGCCCACATAGTGTCACGTGAGGCTTACACGAGAGAGCAGGTGAAGTGCCCGCACAGGGCAGGGCTCGCCAGCTGTTGGGCCTCAGTCTCCCGCACACACGGGCCAGTGTCTCACCCTCCTTGGCAGGGTGCAGACGGCACTGGGGTTGAGACTTCAGGGAATCTGAACAGGGATTTCAGCGTAGGGTGGTACAGCCACACACTAAGTTGTGCCGTCCTGGCTCTGGCTTCTGCCTGTCTCACGGGGAGATGGGCTGGGAGGGGAGAGGCAGGTGGACGTGATGACTCCTTCGCTCCCCTGAGCTCCCCTGTGTCCCGCCAGGCATGGAGAAGTTGTCACAAGTTGACCAGGGGCAGGGAGACGTTCCTTCTGTTCTTCCTCATTCGGAGCTAATCAGATTCTGACTGTGCTCTGGGCTCTCTGGGCATGAATCTAATAAAGGAGGCGGTGACCTGGAGAGGAGGACAGATGACAAGTGGCTGGGGGAGGACAGCATTTCTCCTTTCAGTACATTTTCCCGTTAGAGTCGGGGCAAGGTGTCAGATCCCTGGGGAGTCCCAAGGAAGAGCCAGGAGCCTTCCCTGCCTCACAGGAGCACGCAGGGCACTTTGGCAGAGACGCACCAAGAGATTAACACAGGGCAGAACCGAAAAGGGTAAGGAAGCTCCAGGTGAGCCTGGGGACAAAGAGGAAGAACCAGTGCTGGCGCTGGGGACAAGGTGGTGAGCGACATGGCCATAATACGGCCTGGAGGCACTGGCGGGTGGGGGCGGGGGCGGCAGGGAGCGAGGCCTGGCACTGGGTTGTGATATTCAGGGAGCCTGCGAGGTTCCTCTGAGTGGACCTGGTAAGCACAGCGGGAGTTGCAGAGGGAAACTGAGGCATGATCGTGTCGCAGAGTTGGCATCTCACCGGCAGGGAGTGGGCCATTTGTGCGGGGGACATGACTTAGGGAGCCGGGTCAGATCGAGGAGAGAGAAGCTGCAGGCCCTGCCTCGGGTGTGGCAGGGAGGATGGCTGGGAGGGAGGCAATGACGGGAGCCCTGGGACGAGGCACCTGGGTGGCCGGGGCCTGGATGGGCAGCCCCGCTAGCTGGGGGGAGGTCCCGAGAGGACTTTGTTGCGATGGAGAGGAGTTTAACTTTGGACGGGCTGAGTGGGAAGTGTCCGTGGGGTGTCCAGGCAGAGACGTGCCGTTAGAAATGGGGTTGGAATTTGGGAGGAGGACAGAGCCAGCACTGGAGTTCAGAATCCTCTGTGTGGGTGACAGATAAGGACAGAGGCAAGAGTTCCAGAAATGGGGATGCACTGTGGCCAGAGCTTCTGGAAACTAGTGTTTCCACGCACCATGGGAACAGGGATCGGGGCTGCGTTTCAAGAACGTATCAAAAACCTAAAGAAGACCCCCGCCCCGGCGGGCAGTGCGGTGAGGACGGCAGGGCGCAGGGCGTGTATTTAGCGAAAAGCCGACAGCTAGCTGAGTGGCGGGCGGGAGGGGCTGGGGGATGGCTGAGAGATGCAACAGCTGTCCGGGGCAATCGTGCGAAGCTATTAAAATGATGCAGGTGACGTTCATTGCCATGAAAAGATACGCCATTAAGTTAAAAAAAGCAGTTAGAAAATAGTATGATCTTGTTTCTATGAAAGAATGTGTATTATATATGTATTTCTAGGAAAAAAGTATGTAAGGATGTAAATCAAATGCTGGTGACTTGTCATTTTTCCCTTATGTTTATCTTTATTCTACTACAAGCCATGCGTATTAACACTCTCCGCCCCCCTTTTAATTTTTTATTATTTTAATTTTTATTTATTTATTTTTAATGAAGGGGTGGGGTGGGGAGTTATGAAGAGGGGTGTTCAGTTGCCTTGCTTTATTGTTGTTGTTGTTGAGACAGAATCTCACTTTGTCACCCTGGCTAGAGTGCCGTGGCAAAATCATAGCTCACTGCAACCTCAAAGTCCTGGGCTCAAGCAATCCTCCTGCCTCAGCCTTCCGAGTAGCTGGGACTGCAGGCATGCGCCACCATGCCCGGCTGGTTTTTTTCCCTTTCTTTTTGGTAGAGACGGGGTCTCACTCTTGCTCAGGATGGTCTCGAACTCCTGACCTCAAGCCATCCTACCACCTTGGCCTCCCAGAGTGCTAGGATTACATGTGTGAGCCAGCGCCGCGGCCTGGCTCACCCCCTTTTTAATGGTGGAATTGCCATCAGTTGTCAGATGTGGCAGAGGGAATTGGTCCCGGTCACCAGGAGGGACTGAAAATTAGCTCCTGAGCACTGCAGGGCAGAAGCGTGTGCCAGGTGTGAGGGTCACCACAGGTCTGCTGGTCAGTGCCTGTGCTCATTGCCGTCCCCCGAGCCCCGACACCCCTTGCTGCTGGGAGAGCCAGACAGTGGGGAGAGGCGAGTGGGCAGCCATCTTTGGATGGCTCTGACATCTGCTGGCAGTGGTAGTGGCAGTGGCGGTGGTGGGCCGTGGCGGTGCCTTTCCGTGGTGCACAGGCTGCTGCCAGCACCCGAGGCGGAGGGACAGGGGGAGGCCATGCTTGTTTCCCCTCCCGCCTCCTCTCTCTCCTCCCTGCTGCCTGCCCAGGCTGGGCGGTGGAGGGCGGCACCGGGGCTGCCAGGGCTCCTTCCGCCGGGCACCCATGCTCTACCCTCCTTCTGTGGGACGGCGTGAGCTGAAGAGTGCGGGGGACACGCAGCACTATTCTGAGCAGTAGCAAGGCCTCATTTCCCCGCAGCTGCAGACACCACACCTTGGGAGGCACGTGGGGTTTGGAGGGGACAGGGGCAGGAAGGGAAGGACACTATGCTGTCCCTGCACGCTGGCAGGTGTGGCAGGGCCTGGGGGCCATGCTGGGCAGGCTCCTCCTCCTCCTCTCCAGCGTGGAGCCCAGAACCCGGCACAGGGCAGGGAGGCGCCCGTCTGTCGCCCTGGGCTGCACCTTACGATCCGTCTTGAGGAAAGACGGGACCAACCCCGTACCCTCAAGGAATTTGTTCCTTTCTCTGTAACTTACCTGTCAACCCCACCTGAGAAAACCCACGACCACGACCATGTAAAACAGAAAATGACGCCCAGGCCCTGGGCGCTCTGGCAGCATCGTTACACCCACAATGCATGGGGAGTGCCCAGTGTCATGTCCCCAGGTCAGGTCTGTCCCTGTGGGGAGGCTGGGGTGAGCCCTGCGTGGCACAGCCCAGGGAGAGTGGCCGGGTGACGTCTTGGGAGGCTGCGGGCTGGGCCAGTCCTCTGAGCTCTGCTCTTTCCCGCAGCGGCCGCCTCGGCATGGAGACCGGCGCAGCGCCCATCCCCGCGGCGCTGCCTTACTTCGTGGCCTTCTCCCAGCTGCTGGGCCTGACCGTGGTGGCCGTGACTGGTGCTTGGCTCGGCCTGTACCGGGGTGGCGTTGCCTGGGAGAGCGCCCTGCAGTTCAATGTGCACCCGCTGTGCATGGTCATCGGCCTGGTCTTCCTGCAGGGGGACGGTGAGTCCGGGGCTGCTCCTCTGGGCCTGGCCTGCCGGCAACCCTGGGAGAGGCAGTTTGCACGGATCCTGTCACCGCTGTGGTCTTGCCCCGTTAGATAAATCTGAGATTCTAGAAAAGACAGAAAGAAGCTGGCTTAGGGCCTGGGGAAACAGGATCCAAATCCGGGCCCTGAGGCAGGTAGTGGCAGCTCCTCTCCATCTTGTCGCAGCACCTTCCTATCCTGATCCCACAAGGAGCACTACGTGTGTGCTGCACGGGGCAGAGTGCCCGGGGCGGTTCGAAAGTGGGGGCATCAGCATATGTGAGCGTGTGTGTGTGTTGTTGGACTTGGACTTGGCAGAGCTGGCACGCCTCCCTCTGGGGCAGGAGCGAGGGGCACTTGGGCTCCAGTGGCCTCCAGCCAGGCATCCAGGAAGCTGCACCTGCTTCTGGCCACCTGCTCTTCCTAGGCTGGTCCTGGTGACAGCCACGCCCTCAGCAGCAGAATCCCGAGAGACCCTCCCCACACGGCCTGGCCCTGCCACAGCAGGACTCGGGATCAGGCTGGGACCCAGGATCCTGCTTGGCGAGCGTAGTGACATAGTGATGATGTGATCAGGCTCCAACATGGAGCGACGTGAGGAGCAACAGAGCTGGAAGGTGAACTCAGAAGCTGGTTGTGTCCTCGGTGTCACGGCATGATGACCCCCAGACAGCCTGGAACTCACAGGGTGGCCGACAGGAATGTGGGGTGGGGTGGCGTCTGCTGGGCCCGGCAGCTCTTTAGGTGGGGACTGAGGGCAGAGGCCCAGCCTTTGCTGCCTCTCCTGGGGCAGGGGTGGTGGCAAAGCCCCCACCTGGCTTCTCTGGGGTGCCCAGTGCAGGGGTTGGACAGGGCCGGGGGACCTGTCGAGGGACACACCACCCAACATGCCTTCTGCAAAGGCCCGAGGGGGATGCCTGGACGCGCCAGGCCCAGACGCCCCTCCAGCCAAGGGAGCAAGGCTGCTCGGCAGGAAGGCCTCAGACAGGCGAATGCACTGACAGTCCCTTGTCACCCCCATAGCCTTGCTGGTTTACCGCGTGTTCAGGAACGAGGCCAAACGCACAACCAAGGTGCTGCACGGCTTGCTGCACGTCTTCGCCCTCGTCATCGCGCTGGTCGGTGAGTTCCTGGGCGCGGGTTCCCACACCCGCTGCTGCTGGCTTGGGGAGTGGCTGCTTGGCGGCTCCGTCCTCTGCTGCGGAGCCGTTTCGGTCCCGGTCCCGTTCCCACCCGCCACCCCACCAACACCCAGGCAGGGACACTGGGCACTGGCAGCCTTCGGGCTGGGACTAAGGCCCAGAAGTCCCCGCTAGCCGGTCCCCTCCAGTCATCTCGCCCCTCCCCCTTCCGCGTCCCACTCCGCGCTCACGTGACCCCGTCTCCGGTCCAGGCTTGGTGGCGGTGTTCGACTACCACAAGAAGAAGGGCTATGCTGACCTGTACAGCCTGCACAGCTGGTGTGGGATCCTCGTCTTTGTCCTTTACTTTGTGCAGGTGAGTCCTTCCAGCACCGCCGGCCGCAGGGCCCCTGGCAAGGGAGGAGGCGGGGTGGGGGAAGGAAATGGGCTGCAACGGTGACAGGGGGGCCCGTTTCCCAGGGTGTGTGCCTGGAGACGGCGAGTGGGGTTGGTACAGTTGGATGCTGCCTGCAGATGCTGACATGGCTGCAAAGTGAGGGTTCGACAGGTGAGGGTGTCCTGGTCCCAGGCGCCCTTCTGGCGGACTTGGCTCTCCAAGGCCACGCGCGTGACGCACTGAGCCACGGCCTCAAGCGCCCCCCGCGGTGCCTGTGCTTCTCCACCGCCGTTGTGCGGAGGGAACGCGCGGGCGGAGGGGTCAGCGGAGCTCGGTGGGGGCAGCCTGCTGCGAACGGGCCGCCGCGGGCAGGCTGCTGCCGGGCTCAGCTGCCAGAACCGCCTCTGCCGGTCTTCCAGTGGATTGTGGGCTTCAGCTTCTTCCTGTTCCCCGGAGCTTCGTTCTCTCTGCGGAGTCGCTACCGCCCCCAGCACGTCTTCTTTGGCGCCACCATCTTCGTCCTTTCCGTGGGCACCGCCCTGCTGGGCCTGAAGGAGGCGCTGCTGTTTAAGCTCGGGTGAGTGTCCCGGATGTGAGACTGGGGTGGGGGTGGAGGGGGGACACATGGCCTGCGTGCTGCGGTGTCCCTGCCCTCCCTTCCCCAGTCATCTGCTTTCTGAGCTGGCTTTCTGTGGACTTCGACAGGCCATGGTTATTCCGTCTGGGAGGGGGACAGAGCGGCTGGTGTTGGGATTCCCGCAGCATCTCTAAGGCCCTGGATCCAAAGGGCACTGGGCCCGGCTGACCCCCTGGGTGGCTTCTCCACTCCGTCCTACCCCTGCAGGGCCGACTACAGCAAGTTCGAGCCCGAGGGCGTCCTGGCCAACACGCTGGGCTTGCTGCTGGTCTGCTTCGGCGTGGTCGTGCTCTACATCCTGACTCCGCCCGAGTGGAAGCGCCCTTCCCAGGCTGAAGAGCAGGCTCTCTCCATGGACTTCAAGACGCTGACGGAGGGGGACAGCCCCAGCTCCCAGTGACGGCCTGCTCCAGTCCCGTGGAGCGGTCTGGCGGTGGAGCCCCCTCGGTTCTGGGGGGGCTCTGAAGGTGTCTGTTTGCCCACCCCCTGCTGAGGCTGGGCGTCCTCATCCCCAGGATTGGTGGCTCCCGGGGAGGGGCTCAGGCAGGGTGGGTGGGGAGTGTGGGTGCAGCTGCGTCTGTTTTAGTGATTTCCCGGTAGGGCTTGTCCTCTGCTTTCCCTTTGTCGCTGCTGCTGTGGACAGTCCAGCTGGTCGTGTATAGGCCCCTTGTCCCTATTGCCCCTCCCTTGCAGAAGGCTTCGGGGAGGGTCTGGGTGTCAGTCCTGATCACAGAAGCACAGACCCCAACGGAGGAGTTGGAGATGGCTTTGCGCTGCGGCACACTGTAGCCAAGGGGGTTTACCCGAGGCGCGATCATTGCTAATCGAAAACTTCCCCGTGCCCCGCCATGGCGACTTGCAGTAGAGTTGGCACTGGCAAATTTTGACAGTCCCTATGGGGACCGAGTAAAAGAAAAAAAAAAGAGAAGACTAAAATATTTGTTAAATATTAAACAAAAGAAGAAAAATAAAGGAGTTGGAGAGTGGCCGCACCCTCAGGCAGCAGAGGCCTGAGGCCAGGCCAGGGACACTGAGCGAAGGCTGCTGCTCTGTGTGCTGCTGAATTCAAGCGGGGAGTCCTAGCTGAGTGACACGTGGTGCAGATGACCCGGTCCTTGGCAGCTGAGCAAGTGATACTATGCGTAAAGTATGTTGATTCAGAGCAGGGGTCCCCAGGAGAGGGGAGGGACGGCCCAGAGCACTGGAGATGTGGCTTTGGCCCTGCTGCAGCCTTTAACCCTCTCGCCCCAGGACAGCCCTGCTGGGGGAGGGGACAGAGGCCGGTGACTCAGAGGCACTTCCTCTTGGCAGATGAGGGCAGCCTCAATAGGAGGGTGCTCTGGACCGTGGGGTGTCTTGCATCTCCCTCCTGCAGGGCCTGCCGCCCCACTTCCCAGCCTGGTGTCCTCTCCAAGCTGCCTCGGCACTGCTCAGGCTGGGAGGTGGAGGCACGACCCTTTTTATTATTTTTTAAATGAGAAGCTGCCACTGCTGCCTCCTTTTGATAGAGCCACAAGGGGCTGCTTGCGGCTGAGCCCCTCCAGCTGGAGCTGTCTGCTTCTGTTCGGGAGCACAAGTCTCCTCTCTTACCTGGGGCCCCTCTGTGCAGGGAGCCAGGACTGAGTCAGAATCAGAACCGTCCCCTGTGGTGTCTGGACATCACTCCAACTCCATCAAGTGTGTTGTTAGCTGAGTCACTGTTTGACTTCAGTTTAGAAATAATGTGATTAGAGCATTGATCTCGTGCTTCTTAGATGTGGCAAATGCTTTCTCCTTGTTTCCTGAGCTTTGAAGAGCAGGACACAGTTTGAGAAAGACACAGTTTACTTAAGTAAAGAAATTAAGAAAATTTCCAAACCTGAGTACCATTCTTTTAGTGGTTGCCTTTGTCATACCTAAATGCTGCCTTAGAGAAACGGGCTAGTCTCCTTTAATGCTCGGGTTCCTAATAATTGGCTTTTGCCATGGATCCTATCTTAGCAACGATGGCAATGTCACTTCTGGGAGCAGGTGGCTGTGGTCCTGTCCCTTCCCCAGCAGGGCCTGCCCAGGCACTTCCCAACCCTCCCCACCTCCTCCCAGCTTGCCCAGATGATGGTGTTCACCTCCCATTTAGATTGTACGCTCTTTGAGGGCAGGGGCGCTATCGACTCTTTAATCACCTGGCGCATACGTGTATAGTGAAATGTTTACATGTGGGAAAACTCCACCTTAGACAAGCTACCAAAGTACAGTTATGTATCTCTCTTGCCACAGTGCTACATAGAGAAATGGAACCTTAGATTTGCAATAGAGGTTGTAAACTGGTCTGTTTGCCAAAGTGTATTGCTAAGAAGCCAAAGAAGGCCCCCCAAAGCAGATCTGTAATGGTTTATTTTATTTTGCTTGTGGCCAATCTTCTGTGAAGTGCAATGTACTGTTGGTGCAACAGATGATTCAATAAATATCTATAGCAGACCTCGCGCCTGCTGTCTTTATTTGCCGTGGCAATAAAAGGAGCCAGAGCTATTAGTCAGAGACATGAAGTTAGTTCTACTAGGGTTGAAAGAAATGAAATCTCCCCCTGCTGGGCACAGAAGGCAAAGTGATTAATGATATTTATCACAGCACAGGGGCTGAAGTGGGACCCTGGTTGTCCAGTCTCTGGATCTAGTGGAGGCAGCTCTTCCATGTGGTCAGATAAACTCTTTGCTCAGGCCAGAGAAAATGGTCCGAAGGGTGGAGCTGCAGGAGATTGATAAGGGCCTCGGCAAGAAGTTTCCTCCGGTATTCAGTTGACCTTTTTTCCTTTTTAAATGTCTTTTGGGTCCTTAGGAAGAGAGGAGCAGAGCTCTTGGGACAAGCTGAGATTCCACTTCAGATCCATTTCTATGGTTCAGGCAGGAGAGTGTTTACGGCAAATTTGGGGGGGGGCTCTCACTGTGCACTTTAAGCACTGTGTGCCTTGTCACTTAAAGCTACTTAAAAACTCACCAGAGCTCACTGCTTAAGGGGATCCTACAGCAAATCCTCTCATAAGGCAGCAAGAATACTTGCATTTGTTTAAGCTTTCTCTGTATTGCGGCTGGTTTCTAATGTCTAATGTGTAGGAGCCAGAGTTGAAAATCTTTCCTTAGTGCGTCTGTACAGCCTTTTGCGGCTGCTGAGTGGACCTTCATTTGCTTAAAACCGTTCAAAGCACTTGGCTTGGTACATGTCACAAGCTGGCTCCCCGCTCGGGATCAGGGCTGGCTATGTGGGTGGCAGAGGGATCTTGACGCTGTTCACGTGCCATCTCGCTTCTGGGATTTGGGGCTAGCCTCTGACTCATGGGTCTCTGTGTCTACGAATATTCAAATGATCCCAGACACTGGAGGATGACGCGGCCCTCTCCGGAGGGCTGCTTCTTCACCTCGTCCTTTTTGACTTTCAACTTAGATGACAGCAGGAACTTCACCTTCTTATTGGGATTGGAACCCTTAGAGTCCCCAAGCTGATCCTCTGGACCGTGGCGTAGCATTATTTCTCCCAAGGAGCACGAAGCAGCATCTCCCAAGCTCTCCTTGGCCCAGCGCCTTTTGGTGTCATTCCGACGTTCGCTTTGCTTAGATTCGCTCTTCAGAGAAAGGAGGCAGCATGGTGGACAGTGAAAAGCTTTCAGGGCAGATTTGATTCAGAGTCTCGCCTTTGTCTCTGTGACCTTGAGCAACTTAACCTCTCAGGACCTGCTTCCATATTTGTGTTTTGGAGGCAGCAACGCTGTCTGTCAGATGTTTGAGCGAGGGATACATTAGGGAACGTATGCAAAGTCTCCACCATGGTGTCTGGGACATGAGCATCTCAAGAAAATGGCCCATGGGGATGGACTCTGTGCATTTCTCCTCTAGGGGGTCATCCCCTTTTATCATAGGACTTCTGACATGACACCATCATCATCAATTCCCTCTCATTCTTGGGAATAGAATGACTCAGTTGTCACGCTTCTCCAAATTCCCCCCTCTTCTGTTCTGAAAGATGAATGAGGATGACACTCCAGTCCCACCCTCACAGTTTCTGCCTACCCGTGCCCAGCCCGCCGTGAGGCAGTCTGGTCTGCCCCATGCATAGGAGCACCGCTTCTACCTAAGTTACCAAAAGGCGCCTATTTGGGAATGAAAGTAACAAGGAGAAGAAAGTCTGATTCAGTATTTCCGAGAATCTACAAAGACTTTTGCTGAGTTCGCTGTTTCCTTTCTACTCAGAGTGGCTTTTAATTCAGGTGCAGGGCAAATTCTTTTTAAGAATTAGTTTTCTGTAAATCACATTTCTCCTTTCTTCCAATGCCCCAGACATTCTTAAAAAACTGGGGTTTTGCCAACCATTTAGCCATTTTTGATTTTTAATGAAATAACTGGAGCAGCTCAGGAATGGTTTTCAAACCCAGCAGGTGGTGTCCTTCCAGAGTCCTCTCTTGTCTTTGAAGGCAATTGTGACATCCAGGCTGGATGACTACGCAAGGTCTGGAGTTTTCCTGCTACCCAGGCTTTGGTTGTTTTGGGAAATGGGTGTGCTACACAAACACAGCGGGAATGTTTGTTTAGCACAAATCTGATGTCTAGAGGAAGTGGTCTGCTTCCTTGCCTGTCCCTGAAGCAGGCAGAGGTAGCAGTTAAGCAGAAAGGTTCCAGGGCTCGGTTCTCCTTTTTTTTTTTTAAGATATTGAGTCTCCAGCCTTTTCAGGAAATCTGCAATCTCCCCCTTCACAGCGCAACTGCCTAGCTCTCTATATGGTGAGGACTGGAAGTCAGAATTTCTGAAGAAAAAGTAAAGCCACTGGAAGCAGTGGGCCTCCAGCTTTGACTAAGCCTTTGGAGCTATCAGGAGGGCTGTCGTCCCCACAACCTGGGACATGCAGTCTCTAAGCCACTCAAACTGGCAGCCCACTTCAGCCTTGGATTTTTGTAAGGCGGCTGGATTGGGGGTGTAGCTTCAGCTATCAAAATTCAATAAGAAGAGCTCAGTGCGCCCTTGGTATAGCTGGAGAAAAACCTCTTCCACGGAAGAAAAAGCCTCCTTTTCTCAACAAATGCAGCAAGCCTTTGCTGACAGGTCCTTAGAACTGCATCGTTTCTTGCCTACAGCTATCACAAGACCACACTGCAGTGTCCGACTCCGAGGAAGTGCTCAATAACTGGACTGAGTGAATAAGTGCACGAACGGGTGACTCTGAATGTTCCACAGTGGACCAACCAAATCACTGGGAATTTGGCCTTAGCCCCAAACCTGCCAAATTCTTCCTTGGGGGAGGCATCCTCACATTGTGTGCGTCAGTGAGGGTGAGCTTCAGAGCCAGCTCCCTGGAGAAAGATTGTAATGGAAGGAGAAAAGCACCACAACGCCATGTTTTTCCAAGTGTTAGCCATTTATAAATAAGTACATTTGCTTTCATACATACAGTTCATTGTACAGATGACGATCTGTATACATGGGGCAGGAAAATGCATTCGTTTGAACTTTTCACATCTATCTCACACAGCTCACATGTACAGACAATAAAACTGCTCAAGCAAGTACAGCAAAGGAAAATGTCTTTCCTTATACACAGGGGGCTGGATGCCTCTGTTGGGTGTGGGACATGCCCACTGCAAGAGTTCACAACTGTGTGGTGTTCAATATATCAGGATAGAGAACAAACATGCATTGGATAATATACTGTACAGAGAAAGTCCTTTACATCTGAATTATAGAAAACCTAAAGGAAAACTAAGTGCATTAAAGCTTTTTCCAGCAAGTGTCTTGAAAGGACAGCAAAGAGGAGGAAGAATCAAAATCATATTAGTACAAATCACTCTTTAATTGTAGACTGTACATATCTGTACTAATTAAAATCATCTTGGATTTGGAGGAGACAGAACAGAGACAGAGACGCTGTGCTAGATGGAAAGGAGGCTGCGCTGTGAATGGCACCTGCCCTGAGCCTGACAAGGAACTGGCCCCACTCGGCAGGAATCAGCCAAAGGGAACAACAAAACAAAGTAGGATAGGAAGTGTAACTTACAGGATTTCCAAAATAAACTGTGAGTGAAGTGGAGATCTACAGCCGGCATCTCTAACTCTTCTTCTTCTTCTTTTTTTTTTTTTTTCCAGTAAATTGGTACACAATAAGGCAGGTACATTCAAGTACTAAATTTTCCCAAATTAACTCTTGTCTGGTCCTGGGAACCAAAGGGAGTAAGCTGAGGCCCCCCTCACCAGATTTTCTGGCTAGTGATTTGAAAAAAAAAATCAGCCAGCAAGTGCTACAAAAACAAAGCAGCTAGGGCACTTCCTTTCCACAGAGTAGGTCTATCTGAAAAAACGAGAGCGACGCTGGCCTGCATCTCTATGCATCCAGCTACGGCCTGGCAGGTCAGCTTAGTGTAGGTATCACAGAGTCAGCAGGAAGAAATGAGGTGATGTGGGTGAGGAAACATGAAAGTAACACTTGATTTTTGGTGTCCAATTACGCGTTCATTTGGTACTGACTTTCAAAGCTCTGACTGGCCATCATTCGGCCACTAGCATCTCAGGGTGGCTCAGCTGCTGTGAGGCATTGGACACCGAAATGAAGGTTACCAACACTTCAGCCCTTGAGTGGTCTGTATTATAAAAGGAGTTGATGAAGACCCAGTGATTATTCAAGTAGCTCTGCACAGTGGCTCCACCAGCCCCATTGTGCTTGTGTCCAGGCCCCCAGCCAGCCACCTTTTCTTGGGAGCAGCCAGAGCTGAGTTCAAGGCATTGCATGGTGAAGGTTTCCATGACACGTCTTTGTAGGTAGCTCTTACCCCTAAGCCCTTTGTTCATTGTTAGTCATGGCAGATGGTTGGTCTGGAATTCCTAGAGGAAAAGGAGAAAAAGCCACACCTCGCAATGAGCACGCAACAGGACAGCTCAGCCCTCGGCGTGAGGCATCAGCAGGCTGCCTTTGCAGGTTGGCTTCTTGAGAAGTGGGCAGCCCAGGGACAGACAGGCAGGGTGGGCGAGGCTGCTGGGCACTGGGAGCATCAATAGGAGACTGGGCACAGGGATGGGCACATTCTGCCCCCTGGGGAGCCTGTTCCATTTTGTGGCAAAGATTCAGTAAGCAACTGGTTTTGTCCAAGGCATTTCTGCAGTAGAAAAATAACTATCTTTGAATCGAACCACCCAACTGTGACACCTTTAGAGTAATAGAAGTTGGAGGCTGAGAGGAACTGTGAGGAAAAAGGCTTGTGGGAGGAAGGGGCTCTCAACATACCCATCCATCCACCAGAGCAAGGGAGTTCTAGTTAACCTTCTCCCAGCCTCTGCCTGGCCTCAGGTCCAAGGAATGTAGTGTTCAAAGAGTTTGTCTTGCCATGTGGCACAGATGCATGAAGACCCCTTCCAGGCCTTTGTTCCCTTCTTCCTGAACCTCTGAGCCTGCGTGCTGCCCTAGGAGCGGCTGCCATTCTTTGCTACAAGACAAGCGTGGTGCAGAGCCACAGTGACACCTAGTGGTCAAGTATGGTGAAGCACAGGTGACATCCACATATCCCACCGTGTATGACTAAAATCTAAGGAAAAATACTTACGGATATTAGATACTGATTTTAAATTTTTCTATTGGGTACATCTCTGGAATACAAAAATACCAATATTTAGAGAGGGGATCATAAACTGCTATACAATATAAGGACTGAGAATACCTTTCTCTAAGCTGTTCTGTTTACAATAATTTAGGAAAAGTGTTTAATAATCCAGGCTTAACTAAATTAGCAAAATTGTTTATCTGGACAACGACCTGGGGTACTGTACATGATTCTAATTAATGGAATTTTCCTGAGCCATCAAGTTTAAGTTAAACACATCTAAAAAGAGGGGCACATGGGAGAGGAACAAGAATGGTTTGTGCTCTATTAACTCGGGACTTTAATAGTGCACATCTGCAACTGGGACAAGATACAACAGCAGATACAAAATGGTCTCCATTTTGTCCATGCCAAATTCTCATGTTACACAGGTTTTCCCTTTACTTTGTAAATAAATATTAATTTTTAATTGTTAATTGTGTGCCTTACTGATCCAGTAAATAAAGTAACCATGTCTCAGGAGTCCCTAAGAAAATTGCTGGAAAAGCACTTTAAAATCACTGCAAATATTTTTTTTGCATTAAAAAATTCTTAATCTTTTTGATGCTTATATACAACAGTTACTTCTTGTGCTATAAATGTTGTGATCCACTGCTTGATGTCTTTCTTTTCCTTGTTTTTTTCTTGAAAAATACACTAAAAGACAAGAGCGGTTCTGCTATTTTCTAATGAAGACATTACTCACACTTAAATATCCAGTATTTATCAGAGTTACAAATTCAAACAGTAAAGTGCACCCATTTATAGACATGATGTGATAGAAACTCATTAGTGCAAGAATTTTGGGCAAACGGAACATACAATTCGGTGAGAAACCTATATAAGCGGAAGTTTGTCACCTCTGTCCTCCATTTCAGGGTGATATGAATTGGGTGAGTGGAACTTACCAGTTTCATATGAAAAACTTCCCCTCACCTGAAGCCAGACATTGATTCAGCAAGTGTCTGCTGCTGGGGAAGGGGCATCTCTAAAATACAGTACTAGGATCATCCCCTGGCAGTGAAGTAGCAAACAGGGCATAGGCAGTCTGCTTCTAAGGAAAAATTTTATCTCCTGCCCCAATAAGCTTCAGTTGGCATCTTCTGGTCAAAAACAACTGGCACCCAGATATTCACTCTCTTTTACAATGGCAAAAAAGTAATACTAATTCCATTTTGACTATTGACATTTTAGGTGTTTGCCCAGTATGTTATAGACCCTAGATCTCTGGTTTGTCCTGGAGAACCCAGAGACCCTGGGGAGAAGTGGCATCAGTGGCAGATTTATACAGCTGCAGGACCTGCTCACCTACCCAGTCATGTTGAATGCAGGTGGCATGTGTGGCATTCCAAATAAGCAGGGGCACTTTTCTAATAGACACTGAGGAATTCTTTGAAATGTGGCAGCTCCTCAGTGACAGGTGGTTAAAAAGGAATAAGATACAAAGAGACCAACAGGGCTGAGACCTGCCAAAAAGGGAGCTGAGAAGCTGCTGGGCTCCTAGCTGTGGGCTAATGCTAGAGTTATAGATTTCACCTTCTTGGGTGCATGCGTGCGGGCCTGCCCTGATCAAGATGAGGAGGAGGCAGTCCTTAAGCATCAGAGAGTGGAAAGAGTTTGGGTCTTGAGTTAGCCCAGCTGTTTGCTTCCAGCATAGACAAGTCCTGGCCTGTTTTAGGCTTGAGGGTGGGGCTGGGGGAGGTCCATCTGTTTGGCAGATTCTAAATTAGTAAAGAAATGTTTCTGATCTCAGCTTCATGTTCCCTTCAGAGGACATTTACTATTACAAATGGGTCTGGTCACAACTAGATTTTATTCAGGAAATTGCCTTTCCTGTAGCTCTTTACTAACAACAGGGGAATGATTCCTAGTAACAGAGAACTAATGCTCTTTTGTTTAGTTGGTCGGGTTGTTTAATTTTAACAGCTGATGAACAGCCAGTATCAGGCCCGTGCTAAACTGTGGTTTCAATGTTCTTGTTGTCCATTTAATAGTGAATCCAGTCCCTCAAAAGTCGGGTTAGCACATGACCTAGAAGATGTGTAGAGGGTGCCCAGATCAGAGGCCTGCTGTCTATCTTGTGCCCCACCCATGGCTAGAAAACAAGATGGAAAGGGGTCCTTCTTCACCCTGGAACACTTTTTGTTGTGTCTAATTTTAAAATATCTCATGCCCCAACTACTCCTAGAAAAAGAAAAGAACAATTCCTGCAATGATAGATAATGAAATTATAGATCTTGAAATGGAATTAGACAAGTGGCATGGAATGCAATGGCCCTGGGTGCAAACTCTGGGGATCAGTCTTACAGTCCCAAGAGAATCCAATTTGCTCTGAAAGAACCAATTTCTTCACTATGTCATCTGGGTTTAAAAAAAGAAAGGCCAGTAGAACAAAATCTGGCTCTAGGGGAAGATCCAACTAACAGGATTATTGTACAGATCAACCCTTCAGGAAGAGTGCTTTTTATGGAATATGATGCTCAGTGATGTATCAGGATCTAAACAGTATACTTCTCCAAGACAGATTTTCTACAACCTTTCATTGAGAATCCAAAACAATCTTTCTTTTTCTCTTTCTCTCCCTCTTTCTATATATTTATTCCCTCCCCCACTTGTAGAAAATCAGTAGCTTTTAGTGGTTGTTAGCTAAAAACCTAGAGAATAACTCGGTGAATTCTTTTAAAATGTCCATAATTCTCATCTAATTTCCTTGGCTGAAATATTTAAAGGGCTAGTTGTTTTCAAAATGTTCCTAAAATGTCTCTTGGAAAATCAATGTAGTGATTTTAATTATATTGTTTTTTTTTCTTTTTTCCAATTTAGCAGACTTATTTCTTCTCTCTCCCTCCTTGATCCTTTTACCCCATAGGAAGACTGGCAGGAATCCTAATGAACATTCTGGACCTGACTGCAGGGAGCTGGCAGTATGGGGTTGGGGTACAAGAATGGTACAAGAATGCACCAGGGCTGCCTATATGGATGACACTGGCTAAGAAGGCAAAGGGGCATCACACTCTTTCTAAAGTTCCTAGAAGAAAACGAACAAGAATATCCTTTTTTTTTTTTTTTAAAAAAAGGAAAAAGACATTTACACAACAAGAACATCAGTGAAAGCGATTGTCTCCTGGAAAAAGCTGACCAGTGTGTCTGATCTCCCTGGGTTAAAGCACACGGCAAAAAATCTCCTCGTTGGCATCTGAAGAGAGGGAGAGAGCATGTGGCTGGGGCACAGACAGAGAAACTGAAGTCCTGGCTCCCCGGAGGCCAGCTTCCCAGTCGGCTGCATGCAAAGAATTTCAGCATGTGGGCTGCCACCTCTGAACACCACACAGAAACTACATGAGAAATTAAGCCAGAGAACTACCTCCAGTGGAAACCAAGCCTGAAAATGTGCAGTGAAAACATATGGGTCTCACTCCAACAAACGTCTTTTAAACATTAGACTCCACAAATGGTCTCTTTGGTTTGATAGGGGATGTCTGCCCTTGTCGAGAGTCTCGGGACAACTGCCTGTACAGGTTGTCCTGGTACGCCTGAGCCACAGGTAGGGTCCGAGCCACCTTTACATCGGGATAGGAGGAGGCCTGGCTGACTCTCTCCAAGAGGTCTCCACGAGACCCGTTAGCCAGCATCCCATGGGGGCTGTAGTAATCGTCCTCCAGCAAATGGCCATTCTGTGCATTGTTGGTTTTGTTATAAAAGGCAATGTTGCTGATGGATGATGGTGGACTGAAGGACTCGGGCTGAGGCAGGTTGCCTGGAGACGTGGGGCTGAGAACGGTATCCACTGATGACACTGCCCAGGTCCGATTCTGCTGGTGAAGGTGGGGGTACTGCTGAGTCCGGGCTGTTTTATCTATGATCCCCATGAATGGTGTGGTCCTGGATCGGGTGGGCTCACTGGGGTAACCTCCTTGAGTGGGAGATACTGGTGACAGCTCGTCACATGCCCTATCATATGCCGGTTTCAGTGGGATCTCCATTTGTTGAATCGAGGAAGATGGCCGGAAGGAAGGAGCAAGGTTGGAAGTGGATGAGATACTATTGCTAGATGGAGAGAAGCGAAGGCCTACGCTTTGGGAGTGCAGCAGTGGCCTGGGAGTTGGTGGGTGGGGTTTGACTTCACTAGGGTTGACACTGATAGGTCTCCTGATTAAATGTGAGACATCAGGGGAACCTAGTTGGCTGGAGGACCGCTCCAGATCTAGTTTTGAATGGCAGACTGGGTAATAGGATGCTGACTGGCTACGCCCAATCTGTGGCGTCTGGCTGTATCTCATTCCACCTCGATATGCTGAGGAAGGTCGCTGTGGAAGATCTTCTTTGGTCAATCCTCCATGCTGACAGATGGCCCCTGCACTCAGGCTGGCTTGGACATGCTGCACTGGTCTCCCATCCCCTACAATTCCCCCAATTGACCCTTGATAAACCAAACGGCTCTGACTTACTCCTATGTCTCCTTGTGAAGACTGGTATTTTCCAGCCATTGAATGGGCTACCTGGCCATAGGCTCCCGTGGGGATTACCGTGCTTGAATGAACTGCTGAGCTGGGCTGGTTACTTCTCACGATCTGGGCCTTGGCAGGCTGTAGCCTGAGCCCCTGCTGGGGAACTGCCACAGGGAGCTGAGGCATCTGGTAGGGCCGCTGGGCCATTTTGGATAAAGGAGATTTGGGTCTGCCAGGAAGCTGACTGACACTTGCTTCTTGCTGATAGCGTACAGGTGAACCAGACTGGGATCTATAGACACTCATGCTTTCAGCTGGAGGGCTGGCCCGATATTGAGGACCTCTACGGAGAGGGGAAGGGGGAGGGCTTGGGTATTCTTTGCCCTGCCCTCCCACGGGAGGGGGGCTAAACCGGTAAGATCCACTCTGATGAGCTGGGGAAGTATGTGGTGGACTAGGCCTGTAATGAGAGTTCTGATGAGTTGGAGAAAGAGCAGGCGAGGTGGACTGGTAGCCCTGCCTGGTGGGAGAACCTACAGAACTACTGGAGCGGAAGTCAAAAACCTGATGCGAGCCAAGAGGTGAGCTAGAGATGTAGGCCGAGTCCCGATGGGCTGGAGAGGAGGGTGGGCTCTGGATTATTGGGAGCCCCTGACTGGGACGAGCCTCTGTCTGGAGGCCAATGGAAACATTTTCAACATCCTGTTCCAGGTACTCCTCCTCAAATATATCCTGTACAGAGTATATATCTTCATGCTGTGGTTCAGGCTCCGTTTCTTCTGGGAGCTCCTGCTGAGGCTGCTGCTGTGGCTGTTGCGGCAGCTGCGGTGGCTGCTGCTGCTGCTGCTGCTGCTGCTGCTGCATCTGTCTACACTCTTCTTCCACTCTCATCAGAAGTCTCTGGATCTCACGGTTGTTTGGACATAGCTTGATGGCCTCGTTCAGGTCCTCTAAGGCTGCTGCAAACTGTCTGCTTAACAAAATGTAAACACAGGAAGTGAAGTTATTCTGAATCAATGGGAATCACCAAGAATTGAGAACATGGTCACTATTTCAGAGAACTGTGGTGGCATCTGTGGGAGTCTGGGGTGTTTTGGTTTAGTCTGATTTGTAAGGAAGGAAACAAGGAAGCTGTCATTCTAGAAGAGTCCAGGATGATTCCCTAGCCCATTTAGCCTCCATCTTCCTTCTGGCCTCTCTGGGATGGAGAAATGTCCCCATTGTGTCAGTCCAGCCAGGCCCATCAGGAAGATTATCTCAGTGCCCAAACGCACACCAGGCAGTATGAGGGTTCGGTGGGGTTGTCATTTACAGGGTCACTGTCAAGTAGTTTAGGAACAAAATAGTAAAACTACAATATTTAAATATCTTGCTGATGCAGCAGAAAATTTTCTTTATATTCTCAATATTTTGGCTCCAAATTTCAGGCCTGTTCTATCCTAGGCAAGAACCTGTTCTCTGCCCTTTCTACCCCTCAGCCCACAGCACTGCTGTGTCTCCACGCATTCTGTCAAAGTGGGGCAGGTTATTAGGCAACACAGGTCTGGAGCTGAGTTGACCCCGAGGAGATTCTGATTCACGAATGAAGAAATGAACTGTCAGAGATATTCCCATCTTCTCTATTGATATTACCTGAAAAGGGGAAATTGGCCTTGTGGAAAAGGACCAATCCAGAGGGAAAGAGGATTGATAGTTGAGCTTCTGTAAAACCTTTGATACCCCAGCTAGTTAAGAATAGTATCACTGCCACCATTGTCACTAGTTTCCACCTGGGTTTGATATACCCCACTGGTCACAGCAATAAACTCAAAGCAGTTCTTTCCCATGCAGTTTGGGAGAAGGTAGGGTGCTGGGCAGGAGGCATCAGGGACAGTGACAAGTTATCCAAAGATCACTGATGGCAGATTCTAGGTCCTTCTGGAGGCTTTCCTGCCCAGTGGCCAAACTATAGCAGATGGGCATGAGGAGTGGTGGAATGGTGTTTCCCGTGGGCCCTCTCAATCCTGGCAGCAAGGACCTCCTGACTCCGTGTGTGTGTGCATGGTGTGGTGACGGTTTATGTGAGGAGGAGGTTTGATGCTACCAGACTTGAGGAGAGCCCCAGAAAGAAGCCTAAAAAATCCAGGGATTCCCCAAATACTTGTAAGAAAAGAAAGAGGCCTGTGAAGTTAGTGACACATCCTACTTTTCCCTCTAAAAGGGTTGTCAGGATGTTTTGTTTAAGTGACCTCTTCTTTAAGTCACTGTTGTCTCTTTATGCTATCTCCTTTAGGGGTTGAAAAGTGACTGAGACATGGCAGAGGATTCTTAGAAGGTGACATTCTCCAATGAAAAAGCATTTTTCTCCCAAAGTAAAATGTTCTTGGTCTCCGTAGCCCAGAAGATTTGCTGATCTTTAGCTGAGCACTGTGCTACTGGAGCCGTCCCCAAAGCTTGGCCTTAAGAGTCTTCCAGGACAGACACATATTTGGGTACATATGCCCCAGGGTGGCCTACATTGCCTTGGCCAAATTGTCGAAGAGACCGCTTGCCTTTCACCCTCTCTCTCTCTCCTCACCTGCTGCTGCGTTTTGCCCTTGCTCTTGCATAGTAAGCTTCATAAGATTTCGGTTTCAGCTCCAGGGCCTTAGTAGCAAATTCCTCCGCCATTCCAAAATCCTGTCATTATAATAGGTGTGCAAATGAGTCATTGAAGAGATATAAAAAATAGACAACTTGGGAATAAAACAAATTATTTGTACATTTCTTTGACATTATGGATGGAACACCTGGGACTCTGGACATGCCTGACATGGCCCTAGCCATGTGGCTCACGGACTGACAGTTCCTTCTGCCTTTGCCCTGTGTGGCCCTATAACTGCTCACTGGACTTTATTTGCCCAGAGTATTAAAATACTGTTAATTCACTCTCTTTCTGCCTTTCTAATAAAGTTCTTTTCAGCCCAGAAGCCAAATGCTGACCCTTTACCATGAAGCTCCTGAAATTGGAAACCTGAACTTGTTACTCATGCATGTATGAGGCAAATGCACACACAGACACCTCACGTGGACTCCTGTCCTACCCCTGCAACTTCCTACTGCACCCACTAGACCTTGGCTTTCTAAGGGACAAGTAAGTGTCCTGTGACATCCAGGAGGACGGCATCTGAGTAAAGGAGAACTGCACTGTTTGGAGACTGGATGGAACAGGGATGTCGGACAGACCTGGGTTCAAGTCTCTGGTCTGCTTTATACCCTGCAGAACGTGTCATACCATTTCTCATCCATGCCTACTTCAGAGGCAGAACTAAGCACAAGGCGTTTAAAAGTACCGTACAGTTCCTACCACACAGGAGGTGCTCAATAAATTGTAGTTTCTCATTTCACAGTGGTTTCTCTGGCCTGTTTCTTCTCTTAACTGGTTCTTTACTTAGGAAATATTTAAAATAATAATAAAAAAACAAAGCAGAAGACCCTGGCTGTCACGTGGGTCCATGCTATCACTGGGGGCTCCCCGGAGGAACGTGGTCTCAGAGCTATTTGTCTTCACTCTGAGAACCCCTGGGAACGGGGCGATGCTGACAAGGCAGAGTCCATGGTTTTTAAGATCCCCTTAAATGTTAAGCTAAAAGGAAAAGTTTTTCCCTTCTTTTAATGTCAAAGCCATAGTACAGCATGGTGGCCTCCAGTTACACTCATGATTCCTAAGGCAGAAAACAAGGCCTTAGGCAGAAAAAGGCCCTGGGGCATAGGTAAAAATTTAGAAAAAATTAATGGGAAATTTTCTACCAAAGAAGACAGGCTTCTGGTGCTTAGCAGTGTTGGTCCATGGGAGGTGATTATTAACTGTTTCTGAACAAATGTGGAGTTACTCCATTTCCAACCTTACCCTTTACTTTTTTCTTTTGGGACAATTATTATTTCTGGAAATATTAGAGTTTAAGAAGTAGATTATTTGTTAAGGCAAAAAGAGGTCAGCAGGTTGGCAGTGACTTCGGAGTTTTGCCTCATTCTTGCTGGCTGGTGCCATGGGAGACCCTTGGTTCTGTTTCTTCTGTTTTGCAGGAGAAACTACAGGCATACGAACCTCACTGCCTTTCCCCGAGACTGTCCCCTCCTTCCTCCCCAGTGGAATTTCTTCCATGTCCCTATTCTCCCCAGATGCTGGGACAACTGTGCCTGTTGGGGCCATGACAGTGTCCTCTGAGATAGCCAAGTTTATCCCAGGGCTCTTTATTTTTCTTTCTTTCTTTTTTTTTTTTTTAGAAACAGTCTTGCTCTAATGGCTGGGCATCATCATAGCTCACTGCAACCTCAAACTCCTGGGCTTAAGCAATTGTCCCATCTCAGTCTCCCGAGTAGCTGGGACTACAGGTGCATGCCACCACGTCCAGCTATTTTTTTTTTTTTTCTGTAGGGATGGGGTCTTGCTATGTTGCTCAGGCTGGTCTCAAACTCCTGGTCTCAAGCAATCCTCCCACCTTGGCCTCCCAAAATGTTGGGATTACAGGTGTGAGCCACCACACCCGGCCTCCTCAAGGCTCTTTTCATTGTTAGGTTTTACAGCCTGAAATAGATGCTATAAAGGTCACATATACAAATCATCTTTCTGGAATTGACAGCAGATACCTTGCCACTGAGGGTTAAATCTCACTTGTGTATGGCTGAATTCTTTATTGATCAACATTCCTATTTGGCTTGGATTATTTCTAACTCCTGAGGAACTATGAGACCTCAGGCTGGTGGATGTCAGAGATTCCTGACATGACCTTGCTATTCCCAGGATCTGACAGAGGTTTCTTGGCTTGGGAGTGTCTGCATGTCAAGGGAGCATTGGCTGAGGACATCTAAGACTGTATCTGCAAGGCAGGCGAGAAGGACCAATGACTACTAGTGAGAAAATAAAGGACCAGAAAGAGTTCTAAGATTCCCTCTAGGATAAGGAGGGACATGGCATGCTGGAATAAAAAGATGAGGAAAGAAGTGAAAAGTTCAAGGATAGCTTTAGAAATTTAACTTTGAAGTCCATGGTCCTAAGCCCTCTTTCCAGCCTTTCCTTAAAAGACTAGGGAATGTACTAGAAAGGAAGGGAATGACCAAAATTCATGTCTAATTGCTGCTGGAATTCTAGTGACCTCTGCTACATTTTCCCAAAGACCAGAAAATTAACTTGGGGGGATAAGGGTGGGGATGATAGTATTATAATCACCTTCAATGGGAATTATGAAAATTCAGAAAGCTACAAGGTACAGCATTAACTTTTTTACAGTGTGAGATACCGATTATACTTAGATTTGATTTCTTTCAAATTGCAAATGTCAGTGCTCTGTGAAGGACAACCAAGTTCCAAATGGGGCAGAGAAGGATTTCAGGGGCCTGGTAAAAACTAGTGACATGGGCGATCAACTTCCAGGACTGCAGAAAGAAGTTGGGATGAGACTTACGTTCATTTTCCTGCGACATCGAGAGAGGTTGAGGAGGAGAGACACTTTTAGTTCCCGGAAGGTTTTCAAGTCCTCACCAAACCCTTCTCTAGGGAACTTCTTCAGAGCGTACTGGTAGCGCTGGGCAGCTTCCTTTACTTTACCTTTCTAATGGGAGTACAAGATGGCAAAACACACCGTTGGTCTGCTGAGCAGATGAGGAAGTTTGGTCCCTACTCCCTTCCTCCTCTCAGCAGTTGTTACTAAGGGTTAACTCCCCCACCCACACCAGCCTAGGGAGCAGGTCTGGCCCTGATGGTCAGAACAGAAGGGTCTGGTCTTTTCTGTACAAAATTCGCCTTGCAGGAAAGGTTAAGCCTGAAGGGAATACCCAAGATAGAAGCCAGAGAAACAAAGCCTTGGCAAGTGGAGACCCCAGCTTTTCAATTGGTCCCCAAAGGGGCTGACCTTGCAAGTTCATTTTTCTTGAACTGATCTCATTGGGATATGCATAATTTCCCAGTCCTAAGCACTCAACAGTTATTACCTCTTAATTTCTGGCTTATCTGGAGAACTCTTTTCTTATCTGATGCTCCACCTTGCCAGCCCTCTAGAAGAAGTCATCCTCTTCCTCACAAAGGGTGTGGGAGCTAAAACATTCTAGCCGTTGCTTTTCTAATCTCATGGCATAAAATAAACCAATCAGTTTTCCCTGTTTTTGGAAAAGGCATGAAGTAGGATGGTAGTAGAGAAATAAAGCTTAGAATTTGTCATTCTATCTGACTTTGTAGGAGGGATTTTCTAGGATGAAGTAAATCTATAATCAACTTAGGGATTTGATCACAGTGGCCTTGAGCTTTTCTTACATTCTGTATGTGAAAATCTATCAGCTGAGCCCAGAAAGATGCAAGAGGCATCTCCCAACCCCTTACCTTATCTACCCTATTCCTTCTGTATAGTTGCAACACCACAGAGATCCCAAGCTTTTATTTTTCCTTTAGCACCTTTCACTAAGGAGAGATTTGGAGTCTTCCAAGGTAGAATTCTGGAGAGAACAATAATAGCTCTGCCTATTTTCCTTAGGAGATAGGACTCCTTGCCTTAGAATATCACAAGTTATTCTGTATCCAGGACTTAGATTTGTGAGAGCAATGCCATTCTGAAGTCCATAAATATGACATCTTAAGTAATGAGGACCTTTTTTGAAGTCATACGAAATCAGGGTTGGGCCAGGGCTCAAGCTTCCTAAAAGACTGAGAGTCCTAGATTACCATGACTCTCACTCAAAAGGTACTTAGAAGTTAGAACTCTGCTTCCAGGAACTGGTATACTCCTGATTCAAGGGGGAACAATATGTTTCACAATCATTTCCTCATCTTTTAGGCCAAAGGACACGTCAGTGATGCATGCTGACAAAAACTGGGTTGGATTTGTATTCACCTTCAGGAGAAGATAATCCAGCTAATCTTAACACAAAGAGATGACTTTGACATGGAATATTCCTAAGGAACTATAGGCCATGGGAGTTTGTGTTAGGGTATGGAGCTCTTAGCTTGAATTTTGAGTACAAAAAGACACCACACCTTTGTTGTTGTTGTCATTCAGTGAATACTTCAAACAAATCTTCCAATTGCTACTTGTCTTTGTTTCTTTATCTTATTCACGGATGTTGGTATTATTACTATAGACTTTTAAATTTATGTTTATATTAAATATGAAAGCTAAGATCAATAGACTGGAAATAGCTATACTACACAATTTTATTTTTACTTGTCCTATGAGTTTCCAGATCCCACTTTGCAGATTCCATGTAAAGTCTATGTCACCAATTGTTCGTGGCCAGGGCTTTCGGCCAATCAGCTGCAGGAATGGGTCAGCTACCACTGCTCTCTTGTTGGCAAGGCAAATACCCAGGATCCCCAATTTATCAGACCATCACTGAGGAAGGGCATTTTCCCTTTGACTTTGGAACAAATGATGGGACTTGTCCGACTTTGGAAGATTCTACATGTAGAGAACAGTCAGTGACTGTTTTGAGGAAACGTCGTTTCTCCCTCCCCTCACCTTATAAAACATGTCCCCCTCTTCCATCAGCTTGCTCAACAGGATGATCATGATGTCTGGTTTGGAGGTGGCCATCGCCCATGTGGCTGGACCTGTAGTGTACAGGATGCATGATGGGTAAAAAACTCATACAATGTAAGGGTGGTAGGAAGCTAGGTGAAAAAAACACCCTGGGGGAATTTCTGCTGAGAGAACAACTTGCTCCACAATATATACCTCATCTTTAGACTTGGGAAAATTTTAGTGACTCCCACTGCCAAGGAGCTGCATTGGATTTGTATTCACCTTAAAATAAGAATATCCGGACTATCTGAGCCTGCACTACAGGAGGGCAGCAAAGCCTATGTGTTGCATGTGGGCAGGCAATGGCTTAGTCTGGAATTATTTTAAATAAGGAAATTGGAAGAAAGGGTTTACATTAAACATCACCACAAGATTTGAAAAATCCAAAAGGGTAATTTATTTTGGATCTGGGACTCAAAACCCTTAGATGTTTAGTCTCTTAATATTAAAATATGTACTTTGCAGAAGGGAAACCATTAAAAACTCTAAAGGCTCCCTTAAATTATAAATATCAAACAGGACTCCCTGGGATTTGTTTTGAATCAGGAGCGTAGTTTGAATGTCAAACAGACGTGAAACAAACCAACATTACTGAGGATAACTTCACCCACAAAAAAGAAAGGAAAGGTTAAATTGATTAGTTTACAGATGCCTGAATTATTTACCATCTAGGCTTTTCAGGGTTAGTTATCAAAAGTTCAAGTTATTCTCTACAACAGTCATTAAAAAAAATCTTCTTTTAAGGTGAAGTAAATTAAAAGATTAGAGGTGTAGGGAACTCATGCAGGCTAAACCAAAGAGGAGAAGGCAAAGCTGACCAAGCCATCAGACCACGCCTGATGCTGACAGCGGTGAAATATACCTCGTGGGCGACTCGGTAACGTCTGACAACCTTCAAAGAAAGGAGAAAACAAAAAGTTGTAGGAAAGGAAAAAAAAATGGATGAAGGTGAAAAAAAAAAAAAAAAGAAGGAAAAAGCAGCAGTGAGAGGCAGGCAACAAAAAAGCCAGCATATCAGCCAACCCTTGTCTACAGGTCTGTGGGATGGGGGAGCAGCTGGGACAATGTAGCAGGGACTTGAGAGTCTGAAGCACATACAGAGCAAGGGAAAGCAAAGGCTCACAGCGGTGCAGAGATCCAGGATGCTTACAGGGTGGGGCTGGTACAGAGGCAGCACTGAGATGTGCCTAAGGCCAGAGCAGCCTCCTGGCTAAGACTATGAGGGGTATGGCAGAAAATCATATTGATTCTGAACACAGGGTACTGTAGACCACGGTTCAGATGGTGTTTTCTCTGGGCTAAGAGCCTCTCTGTTCACTTGGACAATAATTGGGCCAGGGCAGAGGGGGAGCTATACACACTCACACCAAATACCCAGGGCAGCCAGACCACTGGACCAGTCTGGCCCCTGGGCACAGATGGCCAATACCTTCTTCCTTTCTCCTACCTATCTTGGCTCCTTTCTTCAGAAGAGTGACAACAACAGAAGTGTTCCGGCACCCCACTGCCCTATCCAAAGGGCGCATTCCGCTGTAGTCAACATGCTCGATCATGGCCCCATGATCTACCAGGAACTGGACCTAGGACAAGGATCAAGCAGAGCAGTTACCACAGGTGGAATGGCTCAGCACTGCTGTACTGAGGGCTTCAGCTTCTGCCTGCCCTTTTTCAACTGCTGGTCTGAACCAGTCTATGTAGTCATGGTGTTTCAGACTTTAGCTATATTCTTGGTTTTTAATAGTGTTTCGAATATTCCTGCCCTCTAGCAAGTATAGGTCTGAGAAAGTTGTATCAGGAATCATTAAAACATTACTCTACCTTTGACCCCTGATAGTGTTATTCATGGAGAACAGTCTCCATCCCTACTCTCCTGAGGCTTGTTTAAAGGCACTCACCACCTCGGCATCACCGTAGAAAGCTGCCAGGTCCAGTGGGGTGCGGCCATTCTTGTCAGCATGGTCTGTGGCAGCTCCATTATCCACCAGAGAACGTACTACTGAGAGATGGCCCTTCAAACAAGCCCAGCTGAGGGCTGTCAATCCTTCTTTGTCCATAAGAGCAATGGAGGCACCTACAAAAGCAAGTGATAACATAGGACTTAGGAAACATGAAAATTCATAGCAGGAGTGAAAGCCAGTATTGAGGTATACACTCTGCCAAAGAACACCATTCGTTTATGGACTGTTTTGATTTTAAGATTGATCCTGGTATGTTAGTTGTATCTCAATAAAAATGTGAAAAAATTGATCCCGTAAACTGACAATAAAACAGAGTCTGGTGGTCGTACTGAGTATTCAAAGTCTTCCACAATTTATTTCCAATTACTTTTGATACTTAAATTTCATTATTCCCATGGAAAAATCCTCTACTTTGGCCAAATGGATATGCTTACTGCTTCTAGAAGCACCCATAAATATTCCTGTGTCCTCACTTTTGCTTATGTTGCTCCATATGTGGAATATCTTTTCTTTCCACATAACTTGCCTGCCTTCTACCCATTCTCTAGTAACTATCTCAATCTTTTGCCTCCAAGAAGCTTCTCCCAGTTTGCTGTTACTGCATCTTAAACCTGCTTAACGTCACTTTATTCTGTTATTTATCTACTTTTATGTATCTCATTTGCATGTAATAAATTATCAGTGAATGTTTTCTGAACTGAATGAAAGTCTTTCATTACAATAGTGTTAACTCCTTGAGAGAGCCCAGGACATGTTTATCACTGATGATAGTATCAGGCCACTTTCTCCCTCCCTAGGAATGGACATACGGGAAGACACTGAGCCCAGGCCACATAATAAATTCAGAATTTAATTTAATAAACTCATAGAACTATATAGAACTCATAGAAATACAGAATAAAATGGTGGTTACCAGAGGCTGGGGGATGTGGAGATTGGGGAGGTGTTGGTCAAAAACACAAAATTCACTTACACAGGAGAAATAAGAGATATATTGTACATCATGATGACTATAGTTAATAACAATATATTGTATATTTCTATCACAAAAAGATAAGTTTGTGAGGTAATGCATATGTTAAATAGCTTGATTTAGCCATTCCAGTGTGTGTGTGTGTGTGTGTGTGTGTGTGTGTGTGTGTGTGTATTTCAGATTTAAAATTTTTGTTCTGGAAATGTTCAACTGGTAATAATAATGCAAATATCCACAAACCAAAATATCTGAAATCCAAAATACTCCTGGTCCCAAGCATTTCAGATAATGGATACTCAACCTATATTGAAACATCATAGTGTAGACCATAAATACAGTCATGTGCTGCATATAAGGATATTTTGGTCAATGATGGACTGCACACATGATGGTGGTCCTAGAAGATTATAATACTGTAGTTTTACTGTGCCTTTTCTATGTTTAGATATGTTTGGATACACAAATACCTACCATTGTGCTATAATTGTATACAGTATTCAGTATAGTACATGCTGTCCAGGTTTGTAGCCTAGGAGCAATAGGCTACACCATACAGCTTAGGTGTGCAGTAGGCTATACCATCCAGGTTTGTTTAAGTACATTCTATGATGTTTGCACAACAATGAAACAGCCTAATGATGCATTTCTCAGAACATATCCTAAGCAATGCATGACTGTATAAATAACGTTTGTCAATTAAAAAGTAATAATTTTTAAAAAATAAATTCAGAATTTAAACTATTCAGTCTTCTTCAATAACCCCAAGCTCACCCTTTTATATTCTGCATTTGCTTTCCTTCAACATTTCTATTTTCATCTATAAGGATCAAGCATACTTGACAGGCTGTTTTGTAATCAGTCTAAAATTCAATATATGTTAGGTTCTTAAGGCCTAGACTGTTATTCAATGGCGAGAAGCCTATCACTTTCTTGCTAGTATTGAAGAATACCTAAGAACTCTCATATAGTTGGCATGTCATACTAACTGAATCAGAGATCAACTTACTGTACATGGGACACTTGGCTGTCTCCTCAGCTGGACACGATTCAGATGTCAGTTCAAACTTAGGACCTGCCACAGCCAGGCTCAGGGTCTACTCAGCAGTTACCTGACCCATCACCTTTGTATCCCTAGAGGTTAGCAGACTTTGTGGTTTCCCATGGCAGGATGCAAGACTGGAAGAGATCATGCCTCTAACCCTCATGAGAGCCATTTATATACTGGGTTATCTTTTCATAATGTAGAATTTATAATTAAAACATCGACTCTAACATGGAATAAATTTGAATATGGGAGAGAATCCAAGCAGTTTTCTCAGATGCAACATCTATAAATTCCCTTGACAAAGTCTCCAGTGGTAGAAAAAACAGAAGGATAAGGTTTTGGATGTATATTACAGATCAACTGGTTTTCCAAAGATAAGATGGAATTTAAGAAATTAAAAGGAGATACATATAAGACAAATCCATAATATGTTCAATACTTCCAAAATTCAATTATAAGCTGCTGCTTCTCTCTTTTCTTTCCCATGCAGTTAAAGAAATCACAATTCTCCCAAACATTCATCTTACAACCTTGGAGTTATCTTCAACTCCCCTATCTGTCTTATTGCCTATATATAATCAGCGTTTATATCCAACATGTCTCTTGTACTTATCCCTTTTGTCCTATTCAGAAATATACTGCCACCAGATTAGGATGTCATTACAATGGCTTCCTAACTGATCTCCTGGCTCACTATAATTCCTTCATCAAATCTTCTGTTCACATTACTGCCAGAGTGACTTTTTTTTTTTAAAAGCACAACTCTGGCATCAATTCTCTTTCGAAAATCTTTAAAGGCTCCTCACTTCCTTCAGAATTAAGTCCAAATTCTTTTAACCTGGTCTTTTAACATTTCTTTTCACATACCTTTCCAGTTTTATTTCCCAGTAGTCCTCTTGTACTTTACTGGACAACTTGCATATTTCCCCAAACCTGATCTGTACTGTTACTCTTCCCTGACCTGTCATCTGTATTACTTCCTCTCTAAATGTAGAACATTTTCCCTATTTAAGTTTCAAAGTCTGTCCTATTCCAACTCAAAGGACATCTTTATCAGAGCACTCAGGATTCTCTGCTTTAAGGTATTTATCTTTGTTTCATCTCTTTCTTGCCAGATTATGGACCCTTTGCTGGTATAGATTATAGTTTATTAATTTAAAAAATCAAAATCCCTCATGTTCCTAGTATACTTTTCTGCAAATAATGTAGACTAAATAAATGTTTGTACAATTTGTTTGATTTAGTGAAAGTCTCTCAGTTAGGTGTGAAAAAAGTCAAACAGTAGAAATATCAGAATGTCTTCATTGGTAATGGAGAACAAATCTATGTCTAATGAGCTTCTACTGGTATATCAACTTTCCCCCTTCCCCACTCCCACAAGCAGAACTGAGGGTAGATATCATGAAGCCAGATTTGTTTGGTAGCTTGTACTGGGGAGCAGGAGCCACTTTGTGCAAATCTCTCTTCTAGTACTGAATCAACCTTGAGACTGCGGTTGTGGAAACAAATTCAACTTGAAGGATACAGTACAGCTAAAGATCCAACAAGTCTCTGACTGAACCGTAGTATGAAATCTTAGAAGAAACCTGATCTTCCTAATTGAACTACCCTCAGCTGCTCAGGCCTGGGCATAACTCTTCAGGAGGTTTGTTTCTTTGAAGGAAAATGCATGTGCTTATGGATACAACTGTAGATGTTTAGGTTGAGTTGACTAATAGTAGGGGCTAATTGGAATGGAGTCATTGTGGCTTCAGTGACAAGCCTCCTGCTTCATGCAGATGCTCAAGCTCCACCAGATGGCACTGCGGAGTCACCAGGGACTGGAGCTTTTTCTACTACAGAGGTCCATCATCATCAACCACACGTGACTGAGGTCATAGCAATTGAGAGAAGCCTGAGATACTTTACGATGGTGGTGTGTCATAATCTCCTTTAAAGTTATTTCCCATTCGCCAGGAATTTGTGGATGTTGGTAAGTGTGAAAAGAAATTTATTACAACAATAGGATAATAATATTCCAATTTCCCATACAGGGTCCCACTCTCAGCAGGTGTCTTAACTGCCATTTGCCTCCTCTGGATTCAAGAAAAATATTAGTTGTGCAGGCTTACAAAAGAATTGATAAAGTCAAAATACAATCCCTGGAAGATGAACAATTATTGAATGTACATTAAAAAAACACACAAAGTTTGCAGATTACTGATTTGACTATTTAGAGTATGTTAAATTGTCTATAATCCCTCAAGTCATAAGGAAATAGAGAATACCAGAGTTAGAGGGTTCTAACCAGCTACAGTAATAATATCTGCTCTTAATATCTCCTGGACTCCACTGCTGGAAATCATGGGTTCACTGGGTTATTATAGGCACTGGCCAGCTGCTCCAGCATCCAGGATTCACCTTGTGCAAGCAGAAAGTCCACAGTTCCTAGGTGGCCTTCAGAAGCAGCCATCATCAGGGGAGTACGGCCCTGCTTGTCTGCCATGTTGACATCAGCTCCATGGGTGAGTAAAAGATCAACAATCTGCAAAGACAGAGAAACAGGGACTAATTAACCCAAGAAGAGCTGTGGAGAAGACACACGCCTATCATCCCTTATACCACGTGAACTCCTACTGCTATATAGATGAGTCACCTCTACATGTAGCTTTCCACTGCAAGAACCCCCTATAAGTACTTGTAAAGTACTAGTACCATGTGATTTATTCTCTAACTTTCTTAGGGACAGCCAAATGAGAAGGATTCAACTCTGAATATCTGACTCAGCTACTAAGTAAAAAAGAATTTAAGATAACGGCCAAGATGTAGACTAAACAATTCCATAATGGAAGTTCCAACATAAGTCACTACCTATATCAGTGCCATTTTATTACTCACTAGCAGTTGCAAATTTGCCTGCAGTTAGTATTCATGAGGGAACTGAATACAACAAAGTGCCTCTGATAATTCTTTGGCACTGTTTGGCTTCTATAGCCTTTTTCTGCTTAAATACTTCCAAAGATTATTATCAATATGCTTTATTTTCCCTCCCAAGTATATAAATTAACATTTATCCAAAACCCAAACATCTGGAAAGATTGTATAACTACAATTTGCATACACTGCCATTTTCTTTTAGCAAGTCTCAGACATCTCCAAGTAAGTGGTTAGCGGGGAGCTGTTGATAAATGAACCTTCCAAAGAACCTGTGCATACTGTGAAATCTAAGAAGGTGGTCACTCCATGACCAGTACGAAAGTAGTATATATGACAATAATGGTTTTGAATGTTAACTTTTTGTCATATTCCCAATTAACCAGAATATTGCTCAAACCTGATCACTGCTGGGTAACCCAAACTTTGCTTGTGACCTATTTTGTTCTCTGCATCAGAAGTTCCCACCTATAACTCAATCCTGTCTGGGGAACTGGTTGTTGCTTCCCTGCTTACCTGCCAGTGGCCCTGACGAACAGTGCTGAATAGGGGCACTGCGCCTCGGCGGTTTGGCTGGGCCACGGCTGCCCCTTGTTCCAAGAGCAGACGACACACCTCCAGTTTGCCCCTTCCTGCTGCAGCTGTTAGGGCTACGGGCAGAGAACAAAGACTGAGGATAGGTGGTTCTTGTCCTCTCCAGTCCTCAATAAAGAATGACAGTATATTTGTGTCCGATTAATGTAATTGCTACTTTAACTCCAAGAATGATGATTGTAGCTGACTTTTCCATGAAGGAAAATTTTAAAGAAAAATAATAAATAAAAATACATTTAAATGGGAACACAATATTTGGAGACAATTATAATAATAAGTCTACTGAAAAATCACTTTTGGTCAAACTCACTTGGTTTCATTTTCCCTAACCAGACTATTTTCTCTGCTTTGGCCTACTTCTTTATTGGTACTTCTTTCTAACAAATGTTCTAACTCGGAATCTAGAGAGAAGGGTATTGGCAAAGATAAGGTCTTTTTTTAGAATTAGCTGGGAAGTACCTTTGGCCAACCTCTACTCCCAGGCTCTCAAAACCCTCTTAGAGAACCAAAGTTAGGAACTGCAGTCTAAGGGCCTTGGACCAGTTTTCATTCCTTTTCTCTATTATTTGATAGAAGTTTCTAGTACATTTGCAACCATTTTTTTAAATGAGAATCAGAATTGTTCAAAGTAATAGTCTTGAAGATGAGAAAAGAGGTATGACAAGGGCTATTTTCTTCTGAATATAAGATAATGGTGTTACAGGTACAAAAAAAAATAGCTGTAGTGAGTATAAAGAACACAGCAGGAAGAAACTTAAACATTTTCTTCTTGTGCTATTGTCCATGTTTACAGTCCTTGATACAATGGAGATTCTATGAATGCCTATTTTGTTCTCAGAGTACCAACTCAATAGCAGAAGGAAGACTTTGGAGCTACTTAGTCCATCTTTTAACAAATATGTACTTGTCTCATTTAACCAAGGGATCTCAAATGCACAGATTTATTGTTTTAGAGAATGGATGAAGGGTAGGGAAAGTGGAAAACAATGTTAGAATGTGGTAGGAGTTAGGTTTCATTTTAAAGGAAGAAGATAAAGAATTTTTTTCCCCAAATTGACTTGGAAAATTGATGTGGCAGTCAGCAGGTCCTTCCTTTGTTATGGCCACCTACTCCAACAAGAAATCAGAAAATGATAATATTTGGCAGGTGCAGATACTGCAGTTTGAAAATGTTGGAATCTAAACAGAGAAGCAACTGAAATTCAAATCAAATGGTCGCTTGCAAATTATGGCATTCATTTTGTCTCTGGGCTTGGCCAAATTTATCCACAACTGAGTCATATGCAAAATCTACCTGTAATTTCTACAAGATAAACCTTCATTTAATTTTTTCCTTCCGTGAGAACAAGAAGGGCTTATAAAGGAAAATGTGACAGTTTTAGAAGATACATGCACTCTTAACCCAGACTGATCTGTGGCTTGTCTTATGTATATTTTCAGTTTTATTTTGGAACTCCTGACATTGACATGTTTGTTCAGTTCCTCACAGGAGGGCAGAGGCTTGGTCGTATCTGAGGTAAGGGTCATTTCCAAACCCTGACTGGATGAGCTCAGGTGTTGATGGCTATAATTATTTACTTGAAAAAGAAGTTTTGCCTCCTATTCTTTAAAAGCAAGCAATCATTCCTCTTTCCCAAGTTCATATTTCTAACAGTTCAGAAAAAAAATTGTTCATTCTGTATATGGGTCAGAACATAAGAGTGGTTTAAGAATTTGACTGGGATAGGCATTTGTTAGGAACAATAAGAACCATCTTATTGGTGCATAAACAACATTTGGAAAATTTCTCACTCCCATACTCTGATCCAATTTAAAGTAGCTACTAGGTGATAGGGTTACAGCAAACCTCCCCATGTGTGGGAGCCAAATACATTCTTTTTCACAAAAAGAACTTACAGCATCCTGGAGAAAATATATACAGTATTTCAGAATTAAGCCTTTCACTAATGATGCCAGTTCACACAACATACTTGAATATTCTCAATCAGTACCCATCTGGAAAGCTACAGTCTACTCTAACAATTCTATTGCCCTGGATGGCCATTTTTTCCCACTGGATATCACATTTATGTAAGAGGGAATGTTCCATTTGGCCTTTTTCTTTGTTGTATCATCTGTGTTGTTTAGGTTATGATGTCATTTGGCAGCAACTTTCAGCTGATAGCTGGACATGGTTATTATCACAGCTGGCCAATTTCATCTCAGAACAACACAACTATGTAAAATGGAATCTGGACTTTTCAAAATCCAAGAGCAAGGAGTTGCTTTGGCTGGATTTTATATGAATCTTATCAAAAACTGTTAAAACTTTTTGAAAGAAAGGAGATTAAGGTAAAGCCAGTTCTATAAAACACCAAACTAATTCTTAGAGCAAAGATAGCACTTAGGAGCCAAATCTCTTCCTAAGAGACCAGTAACAGAATTTGTTCCCTAGCTTGTCAGCATTTGATGAGATTATGTGACATAAATGGTCTTTTTTCAAAGGAAAACATCTAAGGAGTTTGAAGAGGCAGACAGGATGCAGCTCAGAGTTGGGGAAACAGCCAAAGTCTGCTTGGATGGTATGCTGACACTAAAGAGAATGCAGAGAAGCAAATGATTCTTTTATCTATTTTCAATCTTGAAAGAATACAGTACAGACAGGTCATGTAAGATCAATGAAGGGGAAAAAGGGAAGGGAGGTGGCTGGGGAGACATAAACTGATCACTGCTATTCAAAACAACATTAATTAAACATTTATTGAGCTATTTGTCAGACACTATCTCTGCTCTCAAGGAACTCATGGTGGAGTAAGGAAAATAGACATATAAATACATTAGCATTCAGTGCGATAAGCACAACAGAGATATGTCCTTGGCTCAGAGTTAGCACAGAGGAGGTGTCTGAGAAGGCCTCCAGGAAGAGGTGATAATGTGGGCTGGATGCTGAAAGACAGATAGGAGACTTATAGGCATGTAAGGACAGGGGCGGGAGGCATGATAGGCAAAGGGAGAACATGAATAAAGGCATTGAGGTGGGAAACAACATGTTTATTGTTATTGGGATGGTTGAAGAAGACAGGCAATGTATGAGGCTGGAGATCATGGCTGGTCTTTTCATGCTACATTAAATGACTTAATTCTACAAGTAGTAAATGAAGGTCAGTAAGCAGGAAAGGGACATGAAGAGACTATGGCTTAAAACAATCACTTTGGCTGAAGTCTGAGAGATGAGTCACAAAATGGTAGAGGCAGATCAGTTAGAAGGTACTGTGTTTCCCTGAAAATAAGATCTACCCATAAAATAAGCCCTAGCAGGATTTCTAAGCATTTGCGCAATATAAGCCCTACTCCGAAAATAAGACCTAGTGATGGGTGTGGCTACCGCAGCCAGCGTATTTTGCACAACCCATGCATTTAGTCGTGGAGTGGTAAAGATGACGAGCAGCCCTTCTCATCTGCCCCATGAGAGCTCTACTGCTCAACATGAGACATCGGGGTCAATGGATCTAAAGGAAATAGAGTCGCAAGCAATTCAGGATGGAATTCAGGGTTTGGAGAATTATGATGATGTCCCAGAAGATGACGACTTAACTATATTTGAATAAATGTAGATTGTTGTACCATACTTAAAAAAAATAACATATCTCCTGAAAATAAGCCCTAGGGTATCTTCTTGAGGAAAAATAAATATAATACCTTGTCTTATTTTCGGGAAAACATGGTAGTTGCAACAATCTAGGCAATTGATGATGAGGGCAGGAATTAAAGGGATCTGGCTTATTCTGTGAACTCTGGCTTCTTCTGGCCCATGTATCTCCAGGGCTGGCCTTCAGAGTGGCTACAAGATCTTAAAGCTAGTGGTCTGTGCCTCCAACCCAGGGGAGAAGAGGTGAACAATCTTGCCACCTTATTGGCTTTTCTTCTGTGTTGTTCCATAAGGAGTCTGTGAAAACCTTATGAGATGGGAGGAGGTCACTGAAATAGTGAAACCTGGACGTAGAAAATGATATCTGGGCTGGGCGTGGTGGCTCACACCTGTAATCCTAGCAATCTGGGAGGCTGAGGGGGGCGGATTGCTCAAGGTCAGGAGTTTGAAACTAGCCTGAGCAAGAGCGAGACCCTGTCTCTACTAAAAATAGAAAGAAATTAATTGGCCAACTAAAAATATATAGAAAAAAATTAGCAGGGCATGGTGGCACATGCCTGTAATCCCAGCTACTCGGGAGGCTGAGGCAAAAGGACTGCTTGAGCTCAGGAGGTTGAGGTTGCTGTGAGTTAGGCTGACGCCATGGCACTCTAGCCCAGGCAAGAGTGAGACTCTGTCTCAAAGACAAAAAAAAGATGATGTCTGGAAGGATAAAAGGAGGACAAAAGCAACCAGGATATTCTAATGATTTGCTGTTAGAAAATCTGATAGGTAAAAATTATATCTCAATTAATATTTCATTATATGCTAAGATGTATTTCATTGAATCTAAGATTCACTGTGTCCCCCCCCAATTTTAACATCTCTTAAATTGGGATGCATCTTACAATTAATGTGATAATAAAGAATTGTGTCAGTTTAACTGGCAGATGTTTTTTGTTTTTGTAGCTGCACATAAAATAATGGACATATAGTTTCTTAAAGTTAATGGTGACTTAGATTTGATGGAGTAATTGATACATATTATTGGAAACATTATGCCCGCTGTGTTTTTCTTAGGCAAAAATTGTGTTTTTCAGGTCAGGGTTGCAGATATGAGACCCCCATCAACTAGATGCAGGTCACAGACCAGTTTGTATGCAAAAATACATATGATTTTGCCATGGGAAGAAACATCACAATTCAATGGGTCATTATAAATTTTAAATGATCATGTGCAAGTTAGAAAGGATCATGTATACTTAATAAACATGAAAGAAAAGCAAATTAAAGTCCATTCCATATTAGTACTGAATTGTAGGGTCCTGTTCACATAGCAGAGACATTATTTTCCAGAAAATTTTCTGAAATTAAATATTTTTTCATAGATCTAGAAACTGTATTACAGATACATTTCTTCTCATATTTAAATAGCATTTTATGTTTATAATATAATTATTGCACATATATAAAGTTAAATGCAACACAATCCTGATTACAAGCAAATTGACATGAAGTTTTGCTTTTTAAAATCTTGAGATATGGCACATATGTATAAAAATTACTGTAAAAATTTACTGTACACTTTAAACAATGAAATATTTTAAACATCTTGAGGCCATAAAGTTTTATTCTAGTAAGAAATTCATATCAATAAAGCAAGTCCTCCATGTAGTTCACATCCTTCTTGAATATTTTTAGAATTTCTTTCAAGTATAGTACTAAATGTGTTTGATATAAGGCTATTAGTCTTATAATTTCTATCAATTATCACCACTGGGCCATGATGTTTTTTGCTGACCTCCGTGGTTATCTGCTCATGCCCTTGGCAACAAGGGGTCTGTTGGGAGATACAGGAATACTGTGTTGGGGAAGGTCATGCTGATAGGAGAAGTAAACCAACACGACCCTTCTGCAGCTCCAGGTCACATATGCATACTCCCAGAATTTCCGATTTCCTAGCCAGTCTCTTCCCCTCAGCCTGTCCCCTGGCTTCCCTCAGGGTTCCAGAGACAGCAGCTGTTTCCATCTGGATACTTTCCTTTAATCTGTCATGGACTCTTAAGCTGCAGCTGCCTGGCATCTGCTCCCTTTGTCTCTCACAGAGGGAGGAATAGTTTGAGAAGTAAATTCCTAAGTTTTGGAGCATTCCACATGATGTTAAAGAAGTCACGAAACCTATGTAAGATTTTGTCATGAGAAGAAATATCACAATTTATCATTATAAATTTTAAATGAATTCAGGAGTCTTCAGTTATCTTTAGTAACATGTTACCCTAAGCAAAATGCATACTCTTCTTGTTTAGTAAAATATTCTCCCTAAATTGGCCATCTCAATATTGGTCTACTTCTCCTGGAAAATATGACACATATCTGTGGTTACTCTACAGTTTTTACTGCCCTGGTTTCATAAAAACACATCAAAAGTTACTAAGGTTTCTCCAGAGGCTCCAGTTTAGAATTGGAGGGAAGACTAATAATTTCTTGCAAAAGCCACAGTACAAGGAAGAGGCTTCTGTTTGTATAGAAGTACCAAATGATACATAAATTGCTTTGCTACAGACCAAGAGGAATTGCATGAGGTTGGGCCTTACAGGGTAGTATTGTACAACTTTCATTGTGCATCCAGATAGTAACTTTACTAATAATGTATCAGTTTAATTGTGTCAGATACCACTCTACAACAGTTAACACTTGGTTGAGCCAGAGGTGTGAATAAAAACTTAATATACTGGTTTAAAAATGTACGTGGAAAGAGTTATTTTGATGGGATAAATATTTATTCCTAATTACTACAAGGATCACATAAAAAAAGAGAAAGGCCACAATTATTTTCTGCTCGGGTTTGGCACACTGTAAGTTAACTTGCAGTCTTTTAAGAATATTTAGACACAACAGAGGGGAAAAGTTTTCCTTGAAAGAAGACTCTGGTACTAATACTATGAAGAATCCAAAGGGGAAAAAGATTTAAAAAGGGAAATTGCTTGACTTTTTACTTTGGCTGAATTAGTCTCAATACAAAAGTCATAAGACAGACAACTGCCAAAGGTATGACAGGGAAGAAATAAAGGTGTGAGATGGGAGATACACAGAGTCCACACGAATACAACACCTTCATGAGAGAAGAGAGCAATGTCCATGAGCAGTACCTGTCTCTCCCCAGAGACTGTCAAAGCTGTTGATCTGTGCTCGCTCCACTTCCTCTTCATCTTTTTCTGGAAGATCAAGTAGGTAGGAGACAATCTGAAACAAGAAGTTGTGTCAGCTCAAACTTCAGGTAGAAAACTATGCTATGGACACCAGCCTGTGAAGTTTGGAAGATACTTGGATGATCCAAGTATTGTTAAATCTCTTACACACAAAAGGAATCAGAATTGACTCTCCTAACAAAGAAACTCAGAGCTGCCATGATGAGCATTGTCCTATCAGGTACATGTTTCTCTGGAACACAATTCATTTATATAGCATGTGATTTAAAAAATTACATATTCTCATATATTGGTTAAAGAAGCAATCCATCATCCTCCCAATAAAAAGACCATAGAAAATAAATATGAGAAAATTGGGGGCCTGAATTTCTTCAGAGTAGAGCAATTATCCTCCTGTTTCCTCTCAGAAGTATAAGGATTAGTAAAGGGAGAATGACCCCTAACAATAAAGAAAAGTGATAGTTCTGTTTCCAGGAATTTGACAGTATAAAGAATTAAAAACCCTTCCATAGATAATAACAATTTTGATTTTACTTAATATTCCCTTGGTGACTTATCAGGTCAGTTGATAGGGTAGCCGTTTCACTGAGCATCCCACGCAGTGGTGTGGAGCAGGCTTGTCCTGGCCCATGAGAGCTGACTGTTAAATCTTCAAGAATTTTGCAAGCTAGTTGTTCATTAAAAATCAAATAACTATTAAATAAATTATATTAAAAACAAAGGTTAAAGAACACTCAAATCCCATAACTTCCTAATTATTTAACTACTTCTCACTATCATCTATACTGTTGAGTTTATCTGTATTTACTGTGTCTGTATGGTGGAAACATTACATAATGTTGTGCTACTCTGCACTTCTTCCCACCTTTGTGTTCAGAGATGTCACATTGGTAGCTTGAAATTTGCCATGGTGGAAGTATTTACACTTTGGAAACTGGAAAACATTAGAAATCAGGGTTTGATATATTGCTAATGCTGAAAGAGGTTTCAGTTTAATGAATATAATTTGTATGAGGATAAGAAGTAGTTTAACTGTAGATCACATATCAGATATAATGGCAATAAAATTACTGGGAAAAGAACAAATTGGGATGCAGATCCATTTGTTAAATCATGGTTATATGTTACAATCACAGATTAGCTACAGATACAAATGTGGCAAAAATCAATAAAATCATTCAATTAAGAGTATTGTGCATTTCGTTATTATTTGTAAATTGTGTGCAATACATACCTTGTATCACTAAATTTATAAAAACCTTAAGTACACGCATAGACACAAATCACACAAATGCCTGCTCTTCCCCACTTCCTTCCTCAGGGTAGGTTAACACACTATCAATTCAATTCCATATATTTGCCACTATTACTATCATCATCATTAATAAATAAATTAGCAACATATAAATTGTAGAGTGTTTACCAGTTTACAAAGCACCCTTTATAATAGCCTTATATAAAAGAATTTATTACCTTCATTTTACTCAGGGGAAGCTTAGGTTCTAAGAGATTAGAGAAATTGCCCAAGGTCTAGAGCTAATGAGTAGCAAACCTGGGACTCAAACCTGGTCCTTCTGAAATTCTGAATGCTATGCTCTTCCCATGACACCTTGTCTAACCATGTGACTGCAGGTCAATAATTAATCTCTATGAGCCTTCATATCACTGTCTGTTAAATAGGAGTGGAAACATGGGGAAGAATGAGATTAGATAATTTCCACCTCTGACGTTCCTATACCCATAATTCTAGTGATATCAGCATTTGAGTAGTCAAGAGCTTCATGAAGTTTAATCTCCTTATTCTTCAGAGCAATGACCAAAAATTCATATTAATTTGGCTGGCAATTTTGTCTTAATACAATCCTTTTGTCTTAGGCCTCCAAATTCTTCAATATATGCCTTGGAAAAATAATCCTATCACCTACTTCTTACCTCAGTGTAACCCATGCTGGCTGCAGCAATGAGGGCCTGTTGAATAGCGTGGCTTTTCTTAAATACTCCTTGCTGCTGGCCGGCCATTGTCCAGTCACACTGAATTAAAAACTTGACAACCTCCAGATGACCTCGGAGTGCAGCATGAACCAAAGCACACTGCCCATTCTTATCCAAGTGATCCACCTAGGGGAGAAGACAGAAAAATCTTTGTGACAAAGACAGGGGAGCTCTACTCTCAATCTAGTCACATAAGCCCATCGCACATGTCTAGACTACTAAGATTTATCCTTTCCACTCCTTGAACCAATCTCTGAGCAAATTTAAAACGTACTCTACTCAGACTGGATCATTACTGAGCTATGGCTCTGCTAGATGTCCCTTTGGAGAGAACTTCTTATCCCCAGAAAAGGTCAGGCTTTTGTTTTCACATTAAAAGAAAAATAAAAAACAAAACTCTCAGCTTGAACTTTGTTTTCCTGAGGTATATTTTCCTTTGTCCTCAAATAGTTCTTTTTAGACCAAGATTTGAGAGACTTGTAGCTTTGTTGGCAAGAAAAGGTCTTTAAAATCATGAAACAGAAGAAAAACATTTTGAAGTTATAGTTTTTTGGTCTTCCAAAGAAGCCAAATATCTCATATCATGAATTACTCATTTGACCACCATGCTTTGGCAAAAGCTACTTCTTTCTTCCAATGGGAGGACAGAATCTGAAAGCTCTGGCCAAAATGGCTAGAGGCACTTGGAGCTTAATGCTACACTAAGCACCAATAGCAGTTTTTATGATTTCAGTGTTGGTTACAAGTTTAGGCTGAAAGAAGAGCCTTATATTAAGATCAATCTATCAGAAGGACCTTAGCCACAGGTTCCAATAGATGAGCAGCTGTTTCTGGCATGTAGGTGGTTACCTGTCCTGTGGTAGCTAGAACACTGAAACAGAAGTTATGTTTCTGGCTTTCCCATTGACTTCAGTTCCACCCAGCCATCCACATAATGAATGTTTACAGAATGCCTAGTATGTACATTACCATTTAGGATAAAAAGGTGAATAAAGTAGTAAAATACAGATTCTGCTCTGAAGTACTTTAGAATAAGATGGGGAGATGTGACCAGTGTGACAAAAATAATGCATATATAATAAATGTCATAAGGAAAGTAAACATGTAATAACGTTTCAAAGGAAGGAAAAGTTAATTCCCAGGGAGAATCAGGAACAGATTCAGAAGGAAAGGTCTATCTCAACCAGCTGAGATAGGACATGACTGATTTATTTTACTTTTTGTAAGGGTAGGGATACATAAAAAGGAAATTTAAATTCTGAGGTTGAGAGGGTCTTTTGGGACCAGAGCATGGATATTTTTGAATGCCAGGCAATATGGTTTGAATTTTAATCAATAGCTAGTATAGAGTTTTTGAGAGTGTTCATGATAAGAACTTTATTTTCAAAAACTAAGGGGATGGGATATAAGAAACCATGGCTCCATGAAGAAATGGTTGATTCTAGGGCTGGGGCAATAATAGTAAAACATGAGTCTAGATAGAACATCTTGTAGTGCCAGAAAGTAAGGAAGTGCTCAAAAAATAATAGGAGGAAATTGAAAGGACACAGGAATCAACTTGGAGGAGTTCCCATTGGCCAGATCTGGGGCAATTTGAGCAACAAAATTCATAATAATGGTAAACTTATTTATAGAATAAATATCCATGACTCCATAATGATATAAATAAATACATGGAGATGAAGGGACAGCTTTTCTTTACAGTAAAATTCCAATTAACAAATGTTGAATGAATAATGAAAACAGAAAATCACTGTTAGGCAAACACCAAAGCAATAATTATTGCAGCAAGAATCATTCACAGATCCTAAAATTAGTGGCTAAAAGTATGATGAGAAGCAGGATATCTATCTGCCTAGTCTCAAATCACCTCCCTAAGAGATATTTCTTAATCGTAAAGGGGAAACAGGCAACTTCAGAGTTGAGAAACGTGGAAGACACTACCTTGACCAAGTTATTGAAGTTAACATCACTTATAATAAGACATATCAACATCATGCACAGTAATGCTGCATTTGAATTAAGAGCACAGTATTGCTTATGTGGTATTCTTGCCCAAAAATATATAAACTCAATTTACTCATGAGAAAATCTAAGACAAATTAAATTGTAAAACATTCTACAAAACAACTGCCAGGATTCTTCAAAACTGTCAAGATCATAAAAGACAAAGAAAGACTGAGGAACTCTCACAGATTGGACAAGACTAAGGAGACATAGTAAATGTAATGCAGGATCCTGAATTGGCTCCTGTAATGGAGAAAAGATATTAGTGAGACAACTGGAAAAATTTCAACAAGGTCTGTAGATCAGTTAATAGTATGCTATCAATATCCCCTGGCTTTGATAATTAGACTATGGTTACTTTAACTGGTTACATTAGGGGAGGCTGGTTAGAGGATGTATGGAACTCTACATAATTTTTTTTTTTTTTTAAGAGACCCATTTAAATTTATTTGATTTTATTATTTTTAATTGACACAATAATTATACATATTTATGGTGTTCAGTGTGATATTTTGATACATGTATACAATGTGTAATGATGAAATCAGGGTAATTAGCATATCCATTACCTCATTTCTTTGTGTTGGGTCTCTGTACTATTTTTGAAAGTCTAAAATTATTTCAAAACAAAAGGTTTAAGAAAGCTAAGGGGATGGTGTATAACAGATAAGATTAGAATCTGAAAAGAGAATTTGTTACACAACAAGATACCAAGAATAAGAGAAGGATGGTCGCAGCTGGGATAGAGATGAAGGAATAGCTGCTCAAGCTATTTTGAGGATAAAATTGAGAAGAGCTGGCTCCTAAATGGGCAGGGCAAAAGAGAGAAAGGTGTTAACCCTTTGCACTCACTTGCTTTTTTCTCATCATCCACTTCACATTATCCACACTTGACATTATCCACACTTGACATTATCCACACTTGACATCTGAGTGCAAAGGGTTAAATATTCCCTAGTTCTGAGAAAAATGGAGGGTACATTAGTGTATTAAATGAGGCATCTGGGCATAGCTGTCAAGAAGGTGGTTAGGAACATGAAACTAGGACTCACAAAAACTTTCAGGAATAAGCAGTTTGGACTTAAGAGTCACCCAAATGTAGGTAAGAGAACTAGAACCTAGCTGGGTTTGATTCCAAAGCATATGATTATAAAGCTGAAGCATGGGAGACAGTATGGGGAAGGAGGAGAAGACCAGAGGACAAAATTTTAGTGAATAGTTAGTTATATTAAAAGAGGGAAGAGAGAAGAGCAACCAGAGAAGGGCGAGGGGACTAGGACAATATAAAAAGTTCACTATTGCCAGTACTACAGAGAGGTTTAGAGGGGTGAGGAATGAGAAAGCAGCTTTATTTGGTGATTGGCAGTTGTTAGTGACATTTCAGAGAGTGGCTCAGTAGAATGCTGGCAGGTTGGGGTATTTTCTTTTTTTAAGGTTATTTATTAGGTACTGTATGAGACTAAAACAGACTTTATTTCTTTTTTAAAAGGCTTTACCTATTTTAATTTTCACACTGACTCTATCATTCCTTTTTACAGGTGAAAAAAGTGAGATCGACAGAGGTTAAATGATTTATCCAAGCCCTCATATAAAGTAAGTGTGGATACAATTGTCTTTTTTTTTTTTTTTTTTTGAGACAAAGTCTCGCTTTGTTGCCCAGGCTAGAGTGAGTGCCGTGGCGTTAGCCTAGCTCACAGCAACCTCAAACTCCTGGGCTCAAGCAATCCTGCTGCCTCAGCCTCCCGAGTAGCTGGGACTACAGGCATGCACCACCATGCCCGGCTAATTTTTTCTATATATTTTTAGTTGGCCAATTGATTTCTTTAGGTAAGAACTTACAGAGTTTTGAGATAGAGGCACATTGAGATGAACTCAATCATAGTAACATAGGGCAGAAAAGGTGTGATAGGACCATAGAAAAGTACAAATGATTTACATATCTGCTCTAGGGAAAACAATAACTGATGCATAAAATGATGGCTTGGCAGTGTAAGGACTAAGCAGCAGGAAAGATCCAGCTGAGATCAGAATATGATTTGACAGCAATAGTAATGAGGCTGTTATCTTTCTGTCTCTAGAGGTGCCCATTCCAACGAATGAAATGTTACAGGTGGACACTCACTGTGTCACATAGACATCTGAGGCCCTGGGACTTCACTGAGAGTTCCAGGTCTCAGTTTCCAAAGGAGTAGCAGGAGTCTTGCTGTCTTCCCTGGTAAGGGTACAAGACACCTCAGAATGAGGTCATATGTATTACTTATGTTTCACCGTGAAACCACCAAAATCCCCAGTTTGTTTTCAGGACTGAAACAAAATACCATGAGGCTACAATTTTCTCTAGAGGATTACATTTGTGAGACTAGCATTTTTCTTTTCACCAATATATTGAAATAAAGTTCTTTTTATACCAGTGGCTTTTGAGGCATCATAAAGCAAATATATTTTGGAAATGTTTTTGGAGAATTGCAATGTACTAACAGAAACACTTCAAGGTGTCTTTGGTCAGTTTGAGTATAAATAGGGAGAACCATCTTCTCCCCATATCTCTAGGATGGTGGTCTTCAAGGATAGGATGAAGGGCTCTGGTCTTGTTCTCATTTTCATGAAAACCTTTCTTGCCTACACATGAAAGGCGTGGTGTTCAGTGCCATTCAGTTCAGACCTACTACCGCGGTCTCCTTGCTCCTCCTCCCCACTTCTCCTCCCTCTCTTTGTTAGACAGGGGCTTTTTCTGAGCTCAGTAGAAAAATTCTGGGTTGTCTGGCAGGAACTTTTTGTGGTTACTGATAAATGCAGTTTCCTAAGTACCTCTCAAAGGTTTTAGAACTGTATCCTGAGGCAGCATGGACTGGCAGTGGCAAGTGGGCACACACTGTGATGTACGCAGAGCCAGCACTCCCTTTGATCTGCTCCCCATCACTCTGTCTAGACTCATGAGGTAACATGGGAGATAAGAAAGACTCTGTATTCACAAGAAAGAGAAAGGAAAGAAAGGAAAAGCAACAGAGTTGGGCAGCCATTACCTTGGCCCGTTTCTTGCACAGCAGCACCACAATGCTCAGGTACCCTGCTGCCGCGGCATAGCCCAGAGGAGTCAGGCCACTTTCAGAAGAGGCATCCACATTGGCCCCAAACTCCAACAGCAGGGCCACCATTTCTGTGTAGCCAAGATGAGACTGGACGCATAGAATTGGAGCATTATTTAAAACCTCTGTCCGATAATTAATATTGGCACCTCCCAAAATCAGCAGTCGGCTGACCTAGAAATAATAATCAAATATCAGTCACATCCTTTTAGTTATCTTTTATTAAATCATCTGAGACCCTACCAGTGTCTAGTACCATTTAGTAACTGCTTTATTTTATAATCTTCATTGGTTCCTTTTCTCTCCATTTATGTATGTGTATGTATTTTTGTATTTCAATAGATTCAGGGGGTACAAGTGTTTTTTTTTGTTGTTGGTGTTACATAGATGATTTGTATAATGCTGAAGTTAGGGCTTTTAGTGTACCAGTCACCAGAATAACATACATTGTACCCAACAGGTCATTGTTTATCCCTCCTTCTCTTTCCCCTTCTTAGTTTCCAATGTCCACTTTTGTGCACATATACCCATCGTTTAGTTCCCACTTATAAGTGAGAACATTTTTCCATTCCTGAGATACTTCACTTAGGATAATGGTCTCTAGTTCCATCCAAGTTGCTGCAAAAGACAGTATTTCATTCCTTTTTATGGCTAAGTAGTACTCCAAAGTGTGAGTTTGTGTGTGTGTGTGTGTGTCTATACACACACATTTTCTTTATATACTCATCAGCTGATGAGCACATTTGTTTCTTTTTCAATACTTTGCCTTTAGAAAGAAATGTAAAATGTTTCCTTTACATAAACTGCTCATTAGCTAGAGCAAATGCCACTCATACTGTAGAGCTGAACACAGTCTCTACTAAATGAACCCTTGGTCAGAAAACCTCCTACCAAAACAAAGGCTACCTGAGTTCAATTTACTCTTTAGAATCAGCAGGACCTGATCCCATGTGACAAAGCTAGCTTATAGAAGGTAGGAGGATGACAGGGTTAGTCTTCAATGAACAGAATAAAATATAACAATTTAAAACATAATAGATTATCAATAAAAGGCTAATAAAGAGACAGTCTATAAGGCAAATCAAAGATCAACTAAATAGCCACTTAATGTCCTTCTAACTTTATTTTTTTCAGTTAATTCTTTATTCTATTTATATTTTCGTTGCATTTACCTTAATATTTGGAGTGTAAAGATTTCGTAAAGATGCCAATGCCATGGAAAGACCTTCTGTGCTATAGGAAATCCAGAGACCTTGGAGGATAGAAGATGATACACCAACTTTTTTACTCAAACCCTGAAAAAGAAATATACAGAGGATTAAATTATTAGCCCAGCTAAAAAAGTTCCATGAGTGGTTAAGTTAGTGGCCTCTAGGTTTTTGGTACTAATGAATGACAGTGGAGTCTCACCCTAACAAAGTCTATGCCCAGAAGAGCCTACTCACTCATGGGGACAAAGACTAGTTCTGTAGGAATAATAAGCTAACTTATATTGTCTCTATCTCAGCAGTCTTTAGCAACAAACTACTTAGTATCTTTCTTTCCTGCTATATCTGGATGTAACTTGTTTTTCCATATCTTTTCTATTAATCTTCTTGAATAAGCCCCTAGATTTCAAGTTACTAAAGTACACACAGTGGCAAAATAATGCAATATGATCATTGATTACCATTGCATTTTCTTCTTAAGCATTTGGGAAAACTATGTTTCCTAGCCTCCATTTGCTGGGCCATGTGACTAAATTCTGGTTAATAAAATTGAGGCAGAAATAATATGTCCAACCTTGGCCCCAAGACCTTCTGCATATTTCTCCACATTTTCTACTGTTCTTTTTGATGGAAGGCCAGATGCAGAGAACCAATGGAGGATTCTGAGGTCCAAGGTGATTTTGTAACTAGTACATGGAAGGAGCCTGCCCAAAGATCTGCACTGCACTGTGATGTAAGGAAAAATAAATCTTTGTTGTATTAAGTCATTGCGATTCGGCAGGTTTGTTATAGCAGCTACCATTCTTCACCCTGACTAATACACCCCAAAATGATCACATCTGTTTTTCCTTGGGAGTGGAGACCAATGCAGCCTTGATTGTCATGAACAACAAATTTTCTCCTAGCACAACTGGCATAGGTTCCACAATACATACTAATGTTTACCCCTTACACATGGGGTTCTCCAGAAGGAAGTTGGAATAATTTGTTCTTTAGGTTTCCTGATGACTAGACACTCTGATAATCATCTTACTCTTCTACCAATATCTGGGTCAAGTGAGTTAAACCAAGAAATCCTGAGGACTGGAAGATATTAACAATGACATCTGGAGCCCAGTAAATGGATCTGGGAAGGTATTTCTTTCAAAAACTTATGCTACTTCTGCTTGCTTTGTCCTTGAAATGCAGGTCATTCTTGCCTAGAATATTTATGCACATCCCAAATCAGCAAGGTGTGTGTGTTTATTTGGCATACTAGGGTAAGGGCATCTTCAAAGTAGAAATACTTAAGTTACTTATGAGTTCTAAATTCCTCCAACAAAATCTCAAGTCATGGTGGTCAAAGTCTTCCTATAGAAGGCCCAGGCTCTCTAAAGAAAATTAAGAAAAAACTTCCCTAGCTCTTAGGGATTTCTCTCACCAGAAGAATGGCTGAAAGATGAATGCTGTGGGAAGGCTGGATACAAGAACATTTTGAAAGGGCTTTTCTGACAAAGGCATTTTTTTCCTCCTGGGGGGATATTTTTATGCAGCCAAAAATTAAATCATTAAGCTTTCATATTAAAAATTTTATTTCCAAGAAATGTTCAAGGCAGACCCTTTCCCTACACCTGATTTCTACACTTGAACATTGGCACAGGTATTAGACAGGGCAGGTCAAAGATATCTAATGTTTTATATCTATTTCTAACTTAGTATTAGAACAGGGTGGCTCAAAGATATCTATTGTTATAATACCTATTTCTAACTTAGTACTTAAAAAAAAGACATTGCAATGATGAAAACAATACAAATTTGTTATAAAAATCAAATAAAATAGTATGGTATTACAAACAAAAGTAGTTCCCATCTCAATCCTAGGAAGTGGCTCCTATTAACACATTAGTGTTTATCATTTAAGATATTTTCTATGCACAGACAAATATATAGACACAAGTACATATAAAATATAAAATTTATTTTATTAAACATGTTTTATTATGGAAAATTTCAAGCCTATTTTCAAAAGTAGAAAGGAATAATATAATAATCCTCTGATGTACCCATCATCTTACTTTAATAATTTTCAACTCATGGCCAACCTTGTATTACCTATACTCCTGCCCACGTTCCCCTTCCCCCATGACAAGATTATTTTCAAGCAAATCCCAACATCTAATCAGTTAATATTTAACTATTTCAGTAAGTGTCTCTAAACATGTAAGGACTCTTTTAAAACATAGTCCAACATCATTATCATACCTAAGATTAAGGATTCTATGATATTAAATATCCTGACACTATTCAAATTTACTTAATTATCTCAAAAAAGGAACTAAAATTTTTTTTTGGTTTGAGTTTGGATCCATATGAGATCCATATACATTAACTTGTTTAAAAACATTAAAAAATTTTAAAGGACCAATTAGATACATTTCTGTCAACTTTTTAAACAAAATATTGTTTACATATTCCATGCCTGTATCCATTTTTTCTTCATTCTATTTCAAGGGAGAAATAGTAGTCCATTATACAGATGTGTCATAATTTATTTAAGTCAGTTCCCTAGAGATGGATATTTAGGTAGTTCTGGGCTTTTTTTCTCCCTCACTATTACAACTTTGTTTTAATAATCATCCTTGTGCATGTTTTTATACACTTGTATAAATATATCTGTAGGATATGCCTCAAGAAGTTGATGTATTTATTTTGGATGTCATTTTGACATGGCTTTATCACAGTGGCTGCCTGCATCTAAACATTCCCAACATAAAATCCACAGCTTGACAAAACGAAGGATGGTGCTATTTATTTGCACTCATCTTCTCGTTTCATTCTATCCTAATTATAAATGACAGACAAGAGGGTGAGCCCAAAAGGGTGGGCCAAATCCTGACAGAGCAGACCTCCAGGTTTCCAGAAACATGATCCCATGCTGGGAAGCTGAAACAGAGTCTAGTTTTAACCCCTCACAGCACAAGGAGATTATTTCCCCTTTCATGCTCCTCAAAGCTTTAAAAATGGCTACTTAATTTCTACATTATTCATATTCTCTCTGGCCTTGAGAAGGTTGAGCTCTGTTCTGAATCTCTCTACTAGAGTACCCACCCAGGCACCAAGAGCTGGGTGAACTGAAAAGAAGAAGAAGGGCAGTTTCTGATTGCTCACTGTCATTTCAGAACCTCTTTTAATTTGTGCTAGTAAGGGAGACATTGATCAAATACTCTCTCATGTGGCTAATCAGTTAATAGGCAAACAAATATAAAAAACAGAAGTAAATACATCACTAAGTAGTTATGTTTATTACGACATATGAAATTGAATATTTCCAGTTCTTTCTGGAAGAATTCCAAATGCTACTCAGTCAGGGCTGGAGTCCAGACAAGTTAGGTTCTTGAGCTTATCCCTACTGTAGATCCTAGAAGACTGGTAAGTTTAGTTCTGAGCCCCCATATGGGCCTCAGTCTCCTAATTTACAATATGTGTGAGCCTCACCAAGACTTTTTGAGGAAGAATAAATTATGTTAACCAATTAAATAGAAAAATCAGTAGAAAGAAACGTCCATAGTCCAATAGAGGAAATTTTTAGCAATGGAAGACATGTCTTACCTATGATAGTTGAAGGAAAAAAAGGAAGGGAATCTAATATTTATTGATATCTACTATGTGTCAGGGCCTTTTCATATGTTAGCTCCTTTAATTTAATATAATTTCCACAACAGCCCTGTAAGGTAAAATTTATCACTACTTTTATACAGGAGGAAACACTCTAGAGAAGATTAAGATTATAATTTGCCCCAAATCATACACCAACTGGAGCTGGAATTAGAAGCCAAGTCTGTTTTTACCAATTCCAGCTTTAGTACATGTTTCTTCCATCATACCAAGTTTAAAAAAAGTAATTTGTATCTGATTCAAGACTTCACTTCTGAATCCTAAACTAAGAATTCAGAATTCTTAGCTGAACGAGTAGCAACTAGAATAGACAAAACAGCTGGCTGCTGGCTTCTCCTTTTACCTTTACTTCCAAACCATTCTCCATCCTTGGTTCTCTTTTCCAAGATTGTCCTTCTTTATCTCAGAAAACCTCACCTATTCCTAAGGCTTTACTCTCACGATTTTAACTAAGCATTATATACTTCTTTCCCAATTACGAAATTTAAAGTAAAATTGTATCTATAACCAGTAATAGTTAACTTTTATTGAACACTGACTTAAGTGCGATTCATTAGTATTTTCACTTAATCAACAGAATTATTAGGAATAATATCGTTTTTTTTTTTTTTTTTTTTTTTTTTGAGACGGTGTCTCTATCACCCAGCTTGAGTGCAGTGGTGTCATTATAGTTCACTCCAACCTCAAACTCTTGTGCTCAAGCAATTCTCCTGCCTCAGCCCCCAAGTAGCTGGGACTACAGGTGAGCACCACCAAGTCTGGCTAAGTTTTTTCTATTTTTTTTTTTGTAGAGATGGGGTCTTGCTTTTTTTGCTCAGGCTGGTCTCAAACTCCTGAGCTCAAATGATCCTCCTGTCTTAGCCTCCCAGAGTACTAGGATCACAGGCATGAGCCACCACACCTGGCCAGAAATATTATCTTATAAAAGAATAATGCTAGACTGATGTTTATTAAAAATCACATGGCAATTCTCCTTTTGCTCAAGGTCTCTGGCAGCAGAGAGAGCTCAGAAAATGTTGTATTTAGCTTCTCTGAAAGTTGTAACAACTCATCCCCTGTGCTCAGGGTCTACAAATTTGAATTTAGTTTTCTTGAATGTAAATTGCCTCTGTTTTCTCTGTGATGCCCAGGACAGTTTCAGTTATTTAGGTGTAACAAAAGAATTTCAAAAAAGAATGCCTAAGATGTTTAGAGAAAAGTTGGATGTTCCCAGAATGCTGAGTCATAATTTTGCTCAAGAGGACTTGGATGGGCTTCTATTTCTGCTAATGATAGATCTATGTAATTTTTTGTTTTTTTATAAGAGACAGGGGCTTGCTATGTTGCTCAGGCTGGCCTTGAATTCCTAGGCTCAAGTGATCCTCCCGCCTTGGCCTCCTGAGCAGCTGGGACTATAGGCACATGCTGCTGTACCTACCTCCAGATCTAGGGAA